AGTCACACTGGCCTCACTCACACTCCGAGTCACACTGCCTCACTCACACTCCCACTCACACTCCGAGTCACACTGGCCTCACTCACACTCCGAGTCACCCTGGCCTCACTCACACTGCGAGTCACCCTGGCCTCACTCACACTGCGAGTCACCCTGGCCTCACTCACACTGCGAGTCACCCGGGCCTCACTCACACTGCGAGTCACCCGGGCCTCACTCACACTGCGAGTCACCCGGGCCTCACTCACACTGCGAGTCACCCGGGCCTCACTCACACTGCGAGTCACCCTGGCCTCACTCACACTGCGAGTCACCCTGGCCTCACTCACACTGCGAGTCACCCTGGCCTCACTCACACTGCGAGTCACCCTGGCCTCACTCACACTGCGAGTCACCCTGGCCTCACTCTCATATTACTCATGGAAGTCACTTGGCTCACTCTCACACCAAGTAGTCACCCTGGCCTCACTCACACTGCGAGTCACCCGGGCCTCACTCACACTGCGAGTCACCCGGGCCTCACTCACACTGCGAGTCACCCGGGCCTCACTCACACTGCGAGTCACCCGGGCCTCACTCACACTGCGAGTCACCCTGGCCTCACTCACACTGCGAGTCACCCTGGCCTCACTCACACTGCGAGTCACCCGGGCCTCACTCACACTGCGAGTCACCCTGGCCTCACTCACACTGCGAGTCACCCGGGCCTCACTCACACTGCGAGTCACCCGGGCCTCACTCACACTGCGAGTCACCCTGGCCTCACTCACACTGCGAGTCACCCTGGCCTCACTCACACTGCGAGTCACCCTGGCCTCACTCACACTGCGAGTCACACGGGCCTGGGACTCGCACACACTGACTGACTGACACACCGAGTCACCGGGGCCTCACTGCCTCCAGCCCGGTACCTGACCCTCAGCCAGGCCCGCACACTGGTCTCCGGATTGGCTGAGCCCACAGACCGGCCATGATGGGAGATTAGCCCCAGCCTCCCCGGGACAGCCAGGTCTCACTACCAGCTATAGTGACGAGTCATTATGGTGTCATCAGGGGCCAGACCTGATATAGCCGGTCACTATCTAATTATATAGCTGTGTGTAGTCAGTCACTGACTTATATAACTGTACATAGCCAGCCACAGGCTAATCCTATACCTGCTCTAGTCACAGACTAATTATACACCTGTACACAGCCGGCCACGGGCACATCCGGTACCTGCTCACGGGCAGCCGGCCACGGACATGTCGGTACTTGTGCACGGGCAGCCGGCCGGGCACGTCCAGTGCCTGCAGATGGGCAGCCGGCCACGAGCTCGTCCGGTACCAGCGTACAGGCAGCCGGACTCATTGGATACCTGCGCACGGGCCGCCGGGCACGTCCTGTACCTGCGCACGGGCCGCCGGGCACGTCCTGTACCTGCGCACGGGCCGCCGGGCACGTCCTGTACCTGCGCACGGGCCGCCGGGCACGTCCTGTACCTGTGCACGTCCTGTACCTGCGCACGGGCCGCCGGGCACGTCCTGTACCTGCGCACGGGCCGCCGGGCACGTCCTAAACATATGCCAAGTACAGTATACACCTGCGCACGGGCAGCTGGTAACAACCTTCCTGTGTGCATGCTTCTTTTCTTATCACTCTCCATTAATGTGTCTTCGCGAAAGCACTAGTTCAGTTAGCTTTAACTAAATAAGTCCACAAATGCGTTTCTGGGCAGGGAATATACACCTCTGTGGAGTAACTGGAATGGTCATACTACTTGATTACCTAACCACAAATTTCTGCCAAATGACGTATCATGAGAGAACCGGTTTAGTGATTGAATCAGAACATTATCATTTGTTTTGTTTTACAAATTATTAGGTTGTTCTATAAATATACCTTGATGTGGTTAATAACATTTTGACTGTAATATCGCTATATCAAGATTGAAAACTAATTGCCGCCATATAAATTGTATATAATTGGAATTTAGCGCAAAAATCACAATACTGTCTAGCAGCAGTAATAATCCTTAGCATGGCATAGCTTCCTGCAATATGACAAGTGCTGTGAGACTTTTGAGATAAACACCCATCAATTAAAATAAAAATATTTATAAAATTAAATAACTTTAAAAATGAATTCATACTATTTTAAATAGCTTAGAAATGTAGGTGCATACAAAAGCAAGAAGGAAACAAAATACATTTTTTATTTTGGGTCGGTGGGGTTCATTTATGCAATAGAAGTAAAAAGAAAAGAACGCCCAAGAAAGCATTAATTGAGATGTACTGACTGTAGGGTGGGGGATAGGAGAATACATGCTGAATGAAGCTCAGAACAGGATAAGGGGTCACCAGTCCCTATTTGGGCGATATAGACAAATATTCTCTCACTATTTAAAAAAAATATTCAGAGAGCTTTTTTTTTTTTTCTCTCCTCGGAATGTTAGCTGCTGTTTCTTTGCAAACATATTACAGCATTGGGGCCTTTAATCCTTTTTAGAAAAGTTTGATGTGTCTGGGGTCTGCTGCTGCCGCCGCTCCCAGGGTCCACTACAGATAGGGGAGAGCCATGAGTTTCTGTTGGCAAGCAGCCTCTGGCTCTCTATCGCCAGTAGGGGAGCGTCACTCAGAAGACGTTCTAAGGAGTTGCCAAGAAGGAAGCTGGTGTTCTCTTCCTTGAGGTCTCACAAGATATGGCTATTCATTGCCCTCTACAGAGTAATTACGAATAAGAATATTGCCAGAAGACTGGATGGATAGAATATCATATAGTAACCAGATATCCGATCAGTATATCCTTCATACGCTACCAAAGAGGAGTCCTAGCATTTAGTGGAGCAGTTTAGTGCTGCAAGTTATGTAAAAAGAATACCCACGGACGGTATATTAAAGGACCACTATAGTGCCAGGAAAACATACTCATTTTCCTGGCACTATAGTGCCCTGAGGGTGCCCCCACCCTCGGGGACCCCCTCCCGCCGGGCTCTGGGAAGAGGAAGGGGTTATACACTCACCTTTCTCCAGCGTCGGGCGGGGAGCTCTCCGCCTTCTCTCTGCCTCGTCTCCTCTTCGGCTTAATGCGCATGCGCAGCAGGAGCTGCGCGCGCATTCAGACAGTCTCATAGGAAAGCATTCATAATGCTTTGCTATGGACGCTTGCGTCTTCTCACTGTGATTTTCACAGTGAGAAGCACGCAAACACTTCCAGCGGCTGTCAATGAGACTGCCACTAGAGGCTTTTGAGGCTGTATTAACCCATTTATAAACATAGCAGTTTCTCTGAAACTGCTATGTTTATAGAAAAATGGGTTAACCCTAGCTGGATCAGGCACCCAGACCACTTCATTAAGTTGAAGTGGTCTGGGTGCCTAGAGTGGTCCTTTAAGGCCGTATCGTAGGAAGTCAAACGGTTGTAAAACAACTTGACTCCTTATAATTATGAGGATGAAGTGATTATGGAGATTAGAGTGCTCTTCTAATTGACGAGGTACATTCAAAGAATTTGATACAAATTAATTTAAAGGGACAGTATAGTCACCAAAACAACTTTAGCTTAGTGAAGCAGTTTGGGTGCATAGATTATGCCCCTGCAGTCTCACTGCTCAATTCTCTGCCATTTAGGAGTTAAATCACTTTGTTTATACAGCACTAGCCACACCTCCCTGCATGTGACTTACGCAGCCTTCCTAAGCACTTCCTTTAACCCCTTAAGGACACATGACGTGTGACATGTCATGATTCCCTTTTATTCCAGAAGTTTGGTCCTTAAGGGGTTAAAGAGTCGTCTAATGTTTATACTTCCTTTGGTGCAAATTCTGTTTGTTTAAAATTTTATCTCCTGCTCTGTTAATAGTTTGCTAGATCCTGCAGGAGCCTTTGGTATGAAATTAAAATTTAATTTACAGAGCAAGAGCTAAAAACTTTTTTTTTTTTTTTAAAGTAAGTTGCATCTGTTTGAAAACGAAACCATTTGTTTTCATGCAGGTCGTGTCAGTCACAGCCAATAGAGCTGTGGTTAGGGTTGCATAAACAGAAACAAAAGTGATTTAACTCCGAAATGGCAGTGAATTGAGCAGTGAAACCTCAAAAGAATGATCTATACACTGCTTCATTAAGCCTCAAGTTGTTTTTGTGACTATAATGTCCCTTTAACTCTCATGACGTGCACACATACAATTTATGAAAAAATACTAGAATATCAATAAAAAAAAAAAAAAAAAAAGCATGAGCATGTTTAATTGTGCTCATAGTGAATGGTTGGCTGAAAAATGTAATTAAGCTGTTTTTATATTTGCTTCCACTGCATTCTCCACCCCTTATGGTGTTTTCTGGGGTATGGGAACGAGGAACTCTAACGTTCAGGGGCATTACATACAGTTCCTCATTGTATCCTACACGCACGTGGGGAGCCAAGAAAATAATCCTTATTGCGTAGAGAAGGCCCTATTGGTTGAGACTGGATATTGTATGATTTGGCTGTTCAACCAAATATGTCATATAAAGATACTGATTGTAAAGACTTACCGCACACGAGGCCTTCTGTATACAACCATTTCTGGCAGGAGTGCCCTTGTAAAAGGAACTTGTTGCATTGTGGCCCAGCCTCAACCCTGACCTATATGAGGAAGTGATGGGTGGTTAGATGGTGGTTGTGTAGACTAACCCATTCAATCCTGTTCCCAATTGTATCTGGGTTAATTTTAAATCCCTTTTACTTTCTCCTCTACACCAGCACTTGTTTTCACATTGGAAAGAATCAGGGCTCTATTCTGTATGAAAACCCCCTGCTTCCTATCTTTTACATTGCAGGATACAGAGCTAGCAGCAATGAAAGGGAGAACTCTATCTATGTTTGTGGGCCCTATATACTATTGATACCTACTTTCTTGGCAAGCAACTGTACTTATTGTATTAATGGCAGAAATAATGCACCACAAACAAAGTTCCCATTCTATTTATTTATAGATAGCTGTATTCCTAAAGGTGTGATTCTAAGATAGATGTAACGAATATTTTAAATTGTGTAAATTCGAATCATTTTGAACAGCAATATATAAATAAAATTGCTGTTTTGTGCTTAGTTTATGTGCTAGCTTTCCATCTCATACCTCAAATACTTATGTTAATGTTTTTCCCCCATTTATGTAGTTAGTGAAACATGCAACTATAGTGACATGTCCAGACTGAAACTGCATGTTTAGAAGGTATTCTAAAGCAAGTTAAAGAGAGGCTTGTTGCTAAAGGATTAGCATTGTAGAGAGGCAACTATAAAGTATTGCAACATAAAATACATCTATAAGTGGTCAGTCTGGGCCTCCATACGTTAGACATTGAAACGCTAACCATGAGCACTGTGTCTTGCAACTAGTAGAAGGGAAAGGTCTCGCGTTGTGCCTCAAGGAAGGCCTGAGAGGTAGCACAAAGCTTGATGGCAACACAAGGTTTGGGGATCTGGATGTTGGCTGATGCTGAGTCATCCTGTGTGACGAGCAAATCTGAAGTACGGTAGTTTCTTCTCTATCTCATTTCCATTACATTTCTACAATATGGTGACTCAAAGCTGTAGATAGTGTCACTACATAACAGTGGAAAGTGACAGGTCTTGAAAGAAATGTTGGCTTGCGGCCCTCAGACAGGTTTTCTGGGAGATCCTGCAGAACTTCAGTGAAATGTCTGATTTGCGTCCTTCAAGTGAAACTTAACCTCTAGGTCTTATGCAAGAGACGTCTTTACCCATGTGACTCTAGGCCCCCTAAATAGCCCTTTAGAAGCTAGGAATGGAGGTGATAAGACGTTTCATACAATGCATTGTTTTGCCGGGCCTTTTTTATTTCAGGGATATCTTGGATACAGGCGTACTATTGGTGCTTGTGTCCCAGTTTGGCAGACTGTTGAAACATTGCCTGCTGGGAGGTTGGTGAATATACTAATACCACCTTAATGTGTGGATTATCAGTATCTCGATGGACTACTTATGTGCCACTCTTTGGCATGCATCACTTCTATCGTAATACTGTTGTATTCCCAGGTCTGTGGTGAATAGCTAATTATGTTGCACACAAACTGGCGAAGCATCTCCCTTGTCTGATAACTGGATGGAAGCCACCTCCTGCTGCCATGTCATTGAGGACATTGAGCTGCTGCCTTTCAGAGGAAGGGGCATTGCAAGGATTCATGACATCACACCCAGGCTACTATAAACACTTCAGCATGAACTGCTGGGAGCCGTGCTTGTTACTAGGATTAAACAGCCCTGCTCTGCAAAGCTGCCCTCACAGTAGACACCTGTGATGAGGAGTCACAGCAGAAATAAATTGGTAAATGGGAGAGGACTAACAATTGGAGGAAGGGGAGCACTGACATGCCGAGAGAGGAGGCAGCTACACCCCTGCATTCTCACACATGGACATATAATCACTGACACTCATGTTACAGACAAAATAAATCATAAAGAAAATACTGGTGTTCTGCCTAGTAGGTTAAGATGTGAAATTGAAGTTATGAAGCCAGTGTAGTGTATTCATTTAATACATGGAACAAAGGGATGTGTTGTAGGTGATAACTGATCTCATGATCAATGAGAATTTTAGAGGAGAAACACTAAGTTTGGGTACTGTCCAAGATAGTGCTGCCTAGGAGCGTTAGGCCATAGTAAAACTTACTTCCTTAAAATTGAACTTAAAGGAAAAAATATATATATGTTTTTAAATCAAAATTGGTGATGTGCAATGAAGATGTTCATATGGAAATAGTCAGAGAACTTTCATAGGTGCTCAAACAGCTAACACTGAATTGTCAGAACCTGGGAATTAGAAGTGAATGCTGACTTCTCTGTGGGTTATAGAATCGTTCTGTTTGAAACCATGGCCGGTACATTCCCTTTATGTAAATGCAGCATTTCAATGACTGCTACTTATTGTCGGGTTGTCTTTGTGTATGGAATAATGTTGCCACCAGTGGCAGCCTTTGGATGAAAACAGTCAGCGAAAAGGTTTGCTTTTGCAGCATCCTGTATTACATTTACATATTTAATATATAAATATTTGTGTGAACCCAAGGCTCTTGTTCGTAAGAGTGTTAGTGAGTGCTGGCTTCTTTTGTTTCTAACCTAGATATCCTTCAAACAGCACTACTAATCACAAGCCACATCTTGTCCTATTCTAAACAGGCAAGAAAAAATGCATTCTGTTCTAAAGTCATACACTTTATTACAGCAACCACCTGCTCAAATAGAAAAATACAAATCAGATGTACTCTGTGCTCATGAACACATAGAATTTAGAAATGTTTGAAGCGTGCCTGCTAGACAAAGATGACTTAGTTCCACATTCTAGATCATTGTTTGTCTATCATTAGATAAGGTGTCTGTTTATCTCATATGACATTTGCCCTTCTGTTCCACTGGCGGTCGGTGTCTTGTGTCAGGTTAATGTTATGACCAACCCCATTTCCCTTATACTTTAGTAAATCTCCCATATCCCCAAATGGGTTTTGCTTCACTCCATTTAACGGTACTGTGGGGGTGGAGGAGGCACCATCTAAATATTGGTTTATGCATTCAGAATGCAATGTCATAAAAGTTGGTGTAATGGTCAGGTGTCCCAATAGGTTTTTTCCGCGAGAGAGCGAGTGTGCGTATAATACATATGGTCCTGCACACGTTTTTCTGCTTTCCTCCCCAAGGTGCTGCTTTATCCACTTCCAGTATCTCAAATGAAGGAGAGCACTCACTGGTTTTGCAGTGATCTTCAAACTTTTATTTTCCAAGCAGTTACATTACATCCAAACAGTGGCCTTTCATGGCTTGTTTGTTTGGCTAAAATGTCCATTTTATGTGGATGTATTGGATGTTGTATGTTACTGATATGCTGTGTGTATTGTTTTTATATTTCAGGCTTACCGCAAGTTGGCCAAAGAATACCACCCAGACAAGAATCCAAATGCTGGAGATAAGGTAAAATTCTATATGTTTTTTGGATGTTTCTGTAGTCTCTTTATTATCGGTAAGTGAGAGGTATGAACAGAACGGACATGTGTTTACCGATCTCAAGATTTGTTTATCCCACGGTTATCTACCCTGTGGGAAAAGAGCCGTGGAGTGTTCCCCCTCATTTATTTGCAGGTCCTGGGAAATATTTATCCATTGTTACCATTTTTTACATGCATTAAACCAATTCAAAACCAAAAAAAATTCAAAATTCTGCTGCTTCTGTCTATTGACAGCAGGCATAGTAAAAGGAAACCAAAGCACACCAGAAAGTTATTTTCATATAAAAAGTATTTTATTCATATAGTGGATACACATTAATTGTAAAGAGAAAGTGCTGAAAATCGTACAGGTGTGTAAACAACAATAAAGTGCTCAAGAGAATATCCCATAATAAACCAGGCATACTAACGCAAAGAGGAGATAACAGAACCCAGATGTTTCGACAACCAAGTCTTCCTCAGGGGGAATGTCTATCCTAATGGTTTCTGTTCTTACTAATATACCCAGAAATAGCCCTGATTGAGAACACGTGTGGTGAACAATCATGGAAAATACAGACTGAACTGGGCGCCTTCCGGCTTCGTCAGACGTTATAGTGTTCACATGACATCTGACATAATCACGCATGCAAAGAAGTATATTGTGTACCCCTAAACAAGGTTACTTCCGGGCCACTACGACGCTGTCACGTACGTGTGACATAAGACGCCTTTTTTAAATGTATGGGATCCTAACAGTGACTCTATGGTAGCGCTGTGGAGCCAAAATACCCAACGCACGCTATAATAAACTAAGCAGTAGGATCAGCTAAATAAGAAATGTATTGTCTGTTCCCATCCTAGGGTAATGCAAGTCCGTGCTAAACTACAAATAGACTCTAAACCGGAAATTAGTAAGATTGCTGCTTCTGTCAGTCTTTTGTTTGGTTTGTTTTCATCTCTTTGTCCTCACTCATTGTTCCTGGTCTTGTCTTCCTCCCAGTTTAAAGAAATCAGCTTTGCATATGAAGTTCTGTCAAACCCAGAGAAACGGGAGCTCTATGATCGATATGGAGAGCAGGGGTTGCGGGAAGGAAGTGGAGGCAGTGGAATGGATGACATCTTTTCCCATATATTTGGCGGTGGCCTATTTGGATTCATGGGTGGACAAAGTCGCAGTCGCAATGGCAGACGAAGGGGTGAGGACATGATGCATCCTCTGAAGTAAGTCCATTTTTTTGCTTTGATATGCACTGTTCACAATGCATATTGTGAACTCATAGCATTCACTTTAACTACTGACTGGGTCCCTCTAGTATGGGCTCTAGGAGAATGATTAAGAGTCTGGACTCTACAAATCTGGGAAAGTGTTCATGACCAGTTCTTGAAGTTGATATGAGAAGTGAGTGGGTATGTCAACTGGCAGTAGAAGATAATTGAAAATTGCAATTATTTAGGAGGCAAAATTCCGTTTCTATAGCTTTTCTGTTTTTGAATGTTTTCTGTTCCAGATAGCATGGGTTCAGAAGCACACATGCTGAAGGAACACCTCTGCACAGCCAGTGCTGTGAAAGTTAATACTTAGAAAATAACTAGCAACTATAACTTAATATAATCCTTTTTAAAAATGTATTTATTTTAATGATTTTTCTACTGTGGTTTCCAAGTTCGTGACATCCTTGTTTTGAGATTAATACAGTGTTGTTTTATTTCTGCTTGGGATCTGAGTGGGTACAAATCTGCTATAATTGTATGGAATTTAGAGTGCATGGCTATCTGTGCGCAAGTGATACCCATAAGAGCACGTGTGCCAGATCTGATCTTGTGGACGGGGTTGGTTCACATCCTGAATTCTTGTATCAGCTGAGATAGCAGTTGCATTAAATATATTTATGCAGTATTTGCATTTTAACAGTATATTCTTAATACGTGATTCTATCATGTGGTTATGCCTCCTCCATGTTCCTTTATTTGCTAGACATGCAAAGAACAAATGCAAAGTATTCTATTTGGGGTTAAATTTGCTTTATTTATTTTAAATCGAAATCCTTAGATGGATTAAGGGAATATTGAAATATTTAATATTTTTTTTTTGTTTTAAATGCCTTTGTTGCTTTTGTGATGCAATGTGTTTTTTATCCAGGATATTAAGCCTAATCCTATGCCTTCTTTATTCTGTAGAGTATCTTTAGAAGATTTATACAATGGAAAGACTACCAAGCTTCAACTTAGCAAGAATGTTCTGTGCAGCTCTTGTAACGGGTAAGCTGGGTCTTGTTTATATGAAAATACCAGATTAAATGTAACCGTCCCATTAACTAGAGAGGAACTTCAACTACCATAAGCTGCTAAGCTCTATAAAAGCTGAAGAACAAGGTGATGGCTACCCGCTGGATGTATTCTTTAACCCCTTCAGGACGGAGTCAATAGTACATGTTCTGATCAAAACAAAATGTAAACAAAAACTGGTATTTGCTCTATATGTCTGTTCAACCGTAATTCACCTCTTTCATATTAAGTGCACCCACACTTATTATATATCATTTTGTTCAGGATAAACTGGGCTTTATTTCCTCATGAACTATTCACATTTGAAACGTAATTTATTAGGAGTAAAACTTAAAAAACTCTGAGAAATTAAGATTTAAAAAAAAAAATTGTAGACATTTTAGCTGTAAATGTAATACCGTTAGCGTTAACTGCAAAAACCCCACATATTTGGATTCAGCCAAGTCTCACAAGTACAACAGTACCCCCCATTAACAGCTTTTTACGGTGTTTTGGGAAGTTAAAGGGCCAAATATAGCACATTCCATTTTTCAGTTCTTTCAAATTGAAATTTGCCAGGTTGGTTATGTTGCCTTTGAGACCGTGTGGTAGCCCAGGAATGAGATTTACCCCCATGAGGGCATACAATTTGCAAAAGTAGACAACCCAAGGTATTGCAAGTGGGGTATGTCCAGTCTTTTATAGTAGCCACTTAGTCACAAACATTGGCCAAAGTTAGCGTTCATATTTGTTTTTGTGTGAAAAAAGTGAAAAAAACTATTATTTGGCCAGTGTTTGTGACTAAGTGGCTACTAAAAATGACTGGACATATACCCCATTTGCAATACCTTGGGTTGTCTACTTTTTCAAATGGTATGCCATTATGGGGGTAATTCTCATTCCTGGGCTACCATACGCTCTCAAAGGCAACATAACCAATCTGGCAAATTTCCATGGGAAAAAAAAGAAATGCAAGCCTTATATTTGACTCTCTAACTTTCCAAAACACCTAAAACCTGTACATAGGGGGTACTGTTATACTTGGGAGACTTCACTGAACACAAACATAAGTGTTTCAAAACAGTAAAACATATTACAACAATATCGTCAGTAAAAGATACAATTTATCATTTTGAAACACTAATATTTGTGTTCAGTGATGTCTCCCGAGTAAAACAGTACCCCCCCCCATGTACAGGTTTTATGGTGTTTTGGAAAGTTACAGGGTTAAATATAGCGCGTGTTTAATTCTCTGCACTTGCTGTCTGGGTTGTCAGGCACGTCAATCAAATTTTAATTAATTAAATCGCATAATTATGTTCAAATATTACTTAAGCATACACGTATCATTTTTATATATATATATATATATATATATATATATATATATATATAATTCTACGTGTATACTTATGTAGTTATTTATGTAATTCTAAGTGTATTTTAAGATTAATATTTACTTATATTAACATTAAAATACATTACGTATCACGTTACATATATGAGGTGTGTGTGTGTGTGTGTATATGTATATATGTGTGTGTGTATAATATATATATATATATATACACACACACACACACACACACACACACGCGTTTTATTTTAAAACATGTTTAATAATTTATTTATTTTTTTACTTCCCACCAGCAGGGGGACTGTCTGACATTTCAGACAGTCCCCCTGCTAGCAGATCCACAGCCAGCTATAGGGGGCCATGTGATCGTTCTTTGAGAGCGATCACATGGCCTCCGGGGGCCTCATTTGCTGCGGGAGGGCTGTCAGGCAGTCCTCCCGAAGAGGATCCCGGTGGAGGTGAGTACTGTGGACCTCCATGGGCTGAAAGCCGTTACGGCGTTCTGTGCCGCCGCAACGGCTTAAAAGCCCATTACATGCGGGATGGCATAGAACGCCGTAACGGCGTTAATGGGTTAAGGTGGTTTTGTGTTTCTCTGGTAATACAGATTGCCAGGTTCACAAGGATTTCTTGAACGCATCACTTCTCGTGTCTGAAAGTGCTGCCCTGATGTATAAAGACTTGGTATATTGCACATGGTCAGTTAATACATTCCTGTGGAAACCTTCATTTTCTCAACTCTGATAGCGTAGGATTTATTCATACTGTAGGTTAGTACTTTTCATGTGCTGTCCAACGTATAGAGAAGTGATGTTTGTTTTGGAAGGTATGGTGGGTCTGGTGACCCTAATTGTGATATTTGTGTTTGAAAGAAAGAGGGTTCTTTCAGCTGAAACACGTCTTTATAAAAGCTGTCTGTTAGGCATTAAGGGCAGAAATGGTGACCTTCTGGAGCAAAACCAAAAAATGTAAATGTAAAGGCATAACATAGTAATTTTTTTTTATTTTAATGGTACAATCTGTGTGTATCCATAGAAGCTGTCATGTTGTTTGAATGAGTACTGCGCTGAAGAGGAAAGCAATTTAATTCTGTAACTAAATGACATTTAATCATCTGTACAGAAACCAATTTATTTTTTTATTTTTTTACTGATTTAGACAAGGCGGTAAAACGGGTGCAGTTCAGAAATGTTCAGCTTGCAGAGGCCGGGGAGTACGTATCATGATAAGGCAACTGGCACCAGGGATGGTGCAACAGATGCAGTCTGTATGCTCTGACTGTAACGGAGAAGGTAAATGATTAGAATGTCTGACAGCTCTACATGAAAATCTTATTGGGTGCTTTTAACTGGCTTTCAAGAACCCTGAATAAACATCTTGCCTCTGTTACAGAATCCTTTTCCTGTAATCATTCACTTTCTGGTGACTCATATCTGCATTAAATCTCCTGCTTAGCTCTCGAGTTATATTATTGAACAAGTCCACATTATCTAAAGCCAAGTAAAGAGCTGAACACACGCTGATCAGCCACAACATTAAAACCTCCTGCTTAATATCATGTAGGTCCCCTTCTTGCTTCCACAAAAGCTCTGATGCATTTAAGTATGGACTCCGCAAGACCTCCGGCCGTGTTCTGTGCAATCTTGTACTAAGATGTTGGCATCCTTTAAATCCTGTAAGTTGTAAGGTGGGGCCTCCATGGATCGTATTTCTTTTTTCAGCACATCCCACAGATGATCAGTTGGATTGAGATTTGGAGTTTGGAGAATAAGGCAATATCTTGAACACTCTGTCATGTTCCTCGAACAATTTTTGCAGTGTGACAAAATGCCTTATCCGCTGAAAGAGGCCACAGCCATTAGGGAAAACTATTGGCATGAAGTGGTGTACGTGGTCTCCCACAACCTCTATTTAGATGGTACGTGTCAAAGTAACATCCGCATGAATGGCAGGACCCAAGGTTTCCGAGCAGAGCATAACACTGCCTTCCCCAGGCCTACCTTCTACAGTGCGTCCTGCTGCTATTCCTTCCCCAGGTAAATGATACATATGCATCCGGCCATCCTCCTGATCTCAAAGAAAACGTGATTCATCAGATTACACAACCTTCCACTGTTCCATGGTCCAGATGCTCACGTCCCCATTGAAATCGCTTTTGGTGTTGGACAGGGGTCATTGTGGCTATGCAGCAAACTGCTATGCACTGTGTTTCCTGACACCTTTTTATCAAGGCCAGCATTAAGTTTTTCTGCAATTTGAGCTATAGTTGATCTTCTTTGTGATTGAACCAGGCAGGCTACCGATTCCTCCCCACATGCATCAATGAGCTTTGGGCGTCCTTGACCCTGACACCGGTTCACCAGTTGACCTTCTTTGCATTCCACCTCATATCAGGAACACCCTGCAAGACTTGCTGTTTTGGAGATGATCTGATCCAGTCTTTTAGCCATCACTATTTGGCCCTTGTTAAAGTCAATCAGGTCTTTTTTTGCTTGTCCATGTTTCCTGCTTCCAACACATTCAAGTCAAGAACTGGCTATTCACTTACTGCGTAATGTAGACCACTCTTGACAGGTGCCATTTTAACGATATCCGTTATTCACTTTAACTGTCAGTGGTTTTAATGTTGTGTCTGATCCGTGTATATTATGTTTATCTGTCAACTCTATATATGCATTTACAAAGGCCATCATTGAGGGACTGACATACCAACAGAATTACACTATTAGATCAGAAGAGAAGCAATTTTGTCTCCTAAAGAGTCTGGGTGATTCCGATACTTATTCTAGAATGCCCTTTCTCTTGGTATTAAATATAACCAACATCTTTCTCTTATTCCTTGCAGGGGAAGTCATTAATGAAAAAGATCGCTGTAAAAAATGTGAAGGCAAGAAAGTTATTAAAGAGGTCAAGATCCTTGAGGTTCATGTGGATAAGGGCATGAAACACGGACAGCGGATCACATTTACTGGGGAGGCAGATCAGGCCCCAGGGGTAGAACCTGGAGATATTGTTCTAGTTTTACAGGAAAAAGAGAATGAGGTAAGCTGCATGGTGTTTTGTTGGACCTATCGATTAAACGGTGCAGTGATGCACACTGACATTCTTCAGACCTCCTCCTGTTGTAACCCTATTTAGGGTTAGATCTGGCACAAAGTGGTGTAACAACTGGCCAAAGAGAGAGATAGATCTAAATGTCATTGTATAAATACGGATTGCTCTTATATTGAGCTATTACTACGACTAATATACTGAGTTGTTTGGTAACCACGACCTTACCTTACAGGTGTTTCAGAGAGATGGAAATGACCTGCACATGACACACAAGATTGGACTCGTTGAAGCGCTCTGTGGCTTTCAGTTTAATTTTAAGCACCTTGATGCACGTCAGATTGTTGTCCGATACCCTCCAGGGAAGGTTATTGAACCAGGTAAACATTCTAGCTTACTACCTGTGCATTTTCTCTTTACAAATGTATGCATCGTCACTTTGTTCTCCTACAATATGTTTTATGGGATTTGGGTTTCCTCAGTGTCCTTGATTGTTGGGTGGTGGTTGAGTAGTGGACAGAAGCTGTGAGTTTGACAGCCAGTATGAGCGCTTCAGGAATACAGAATTAAGAACCAGAGCTTGAACAAATCTGAGCAGCTATCTTCATTGTGTATATGGAACAAGGCAGAAACTTTAATATAGTTTTCCAGTGCACATTAGGCCAGCTCGGCCGTAACCAAACTTGAAGTTCCAAAATGTGTCCACTGAATATTAATAGAAAACCTCCTATTGAAAACTGCTCTGTCAACCAGTGTTCAAATAACATTTGTAAGTAAGTTGTAAGAGTGTTCTAGAAGTTTGTAAAGAATGAGAATCTGAAATAGTACCATAACCATATCTTCTTCACACAGGTTCTGTCCGTGTAGTACGTGGTGAAGGCATGCCACAATATCGTAATCCCTTCGAGAAGGGTGATTTGTTCATTAAGTTTGAAGTGCAATTCCCAGAAAACAACTGGATCAACCCAGACAAGCTCACGGTGAGTTAATGAAGAGATGAAGTGGTGTGGTTGACTTTAGTGTTCCTTTAGGCAACCTAACCATGACAGTCAGTTGCATAGCATGCCATTAGAGTTCCCAAGTGCTGCCCCAGGTTCCATGACCTTGATAATGCAGAAGTGTCAGTTCCGCATTGTGGCCCATTGGAAATAAGCTGCAGTTCATCTGTTTGTTGTTAAACAAAGAATGTTGCTGGGCATTCTGGGTGACAGAAATACTACAGTGAGCTTAGAGTGCCTTTAAATCCTAACTATCCTGTTGAAGTGCTTTGTGTGAAGCGTGTGTAAGATGATTTCCATCTTACAAAAAGTTCCAATTTCAATAGTCTGGACGTAGGGGAGGGATCTACAGCTTTTGCACGTTTTTACATATAGCCTTCATGAAAAATGCAGAATTGAATGCTTGCGTGTTAACGTTGGATATATATCTACTAATTAGTGAATTACATAAATTTATGTAGTGGATTGTCCCTTTAATATGTATTCAGAGCTAATTAAGGTGTGTGTGTCTCCCTTGCCTGCCACTTACTGTAAGTCTGGAAAGTCTATTTCAAACTCGCCAGTGCTACATTTTCATTCGCCAATTTCAAGGTTGAACGTGATGGACTTTTTTCAGACTAGATTACTGTGGAAAATGTGAGCCATTTAGATTTGTCGCTGACCATTTAAAAATGTTTCTGTTGTGGGCTTCTTCTATAGGAACTTGAAGATCTTCTGCCAGCCAGACCAGAAACCTCCACAGTAAGTGGTGAGACAGAAGAAGTAGATCTTCAGGAATTCGACAGTACTCGTGGTTCCGGTGGAGGCCAAAGACGTGAAGCATATAATGATAGTTCTGATGAAGAGAGTGGTCATCATGGGCCAGGAGTGCAATGTGCTCATCAGTAAACAAGCTGCTCACCTATATTTTTTTGTTTTTGTTTTTTTCTTCCCTTCAAATTTACCAGTTTTTTTTGTTTCTGCTGTCTGACCGGATTGCCCATATGATTTGATGGACATGTCTCTTCCTGTATGTGTAACTTTTAAACTGGTTAGATAGTATTTACAGAGTGTATAATTTAAACTAACCATATGGCTTTTCATGCAGTTTTGACTGTTCTATATCAAAAATTAAAAAAGAACCTATACAAGAAACACTCATGGAAGACAAGGCAAGACTTCAGTCTTTATCACATGCTTGATTTTTACCTGTCTCTGTAGATTATAATTTTTTTTATTTTTTTGTTCCATATTTTAATTTGTTGCATTGTAAAGAGATGTGTAAAATTGTCCCGGAGCTCTGTATTTAGCTGCACCTGCATATGCTGCTACAAAATAGAATTCATTTGGCGACCTGTATGTCTCCTGGATGCACAGTAATGACTTCAGTCTTTGTATAGAAAGCCTGAACGCATGTTAATTGGGAGAATACAAAAGGTTTTGTTTCTTTTCTACCATCTTGTCACGGATTTCATCCATTAATAAAAACCAGTTGATGTATCTTAATTTGTCACGTTGTATCTGCTGTTGACTGTGGTTTTAGTACATACTGTTACCCCTGGGGAAAAAAATACTCTGTATCCAGTCTTACTGCGGCCATTATAGCAGGATGTCCTACATACACAGAAAACTCACTTCTCTCAGATTAAAATTAATTTTCAGAAAAGATATTGTATCCTAAAGAAAAGGTGCTCCAGACCGCCAACATTACTTTGTAGAAAGTCCAGGCAGTCAAGGTTCTTTTAATTGAACATTGTGGCCTTTTGTGAGCGACTTTAACAATTGTGTGGCTGAAATGTCACAATAGTTTAAGTCTATTTTATTTTTAAAAAAAATAAAAAATAAAATCTTGATTTCCATGGAACACAAACATGTATTTCTGACCCTATAGTGCTAAACCCACCATTTAGGTGGCTTGCCCCACTTAGTCCCCCTATAAAAGTATAATACCTTATTTCCAGTGCCACAGGGGTCTGCTGGCACTGGCTCTGCACCCTTTGTGAAATCATCGAAATGGCCGATTCTTAGCCAATCCAATGCTTTTCCATAGAAAAATGCATTGGATTGGCTAAGAATCGGCACGGGGGCAGGGCCAAATGCTGTTTTGGCCAATCAGGACCTTGATTCAATGCATCTGAGGAAAATTCAGTGTCTCCATGCAGAGCGTGGGGACGCTGAACAGCAGGGCTGCTTACTGTGCAGCCCTGAGCCAGGAAGTCCCTCCAGTGTCCCTAGAGGCAACCTTTTCTTTGATAAGGCAGTGTTTTACATGAAAATGCCTGAAGGGAGCTATTAAACTCACCAGAACAACTACATTAAGCTGTAGTTGTTCTGGTGACTATAGTGTCTCTTTAATGAAGTCTGTTTTATGGATAGATCATGCCTCTGAAGTTTCACTGCTCAGCCATTTAGGAGTTAAATCACTTTTTTGCTTCTGTTGATGCAGCCCTAGCCACACCTCCCCTGGTTGTGACTGACACAGCCCTAATGAAAAAAAGGTGTAATTTTTGAACAGATCTGTCTCCTGTAAATTTGAACTTTAACAGGAGCTAATTTTAAATTAAACAGAAGTTTCAAAAAAGGAAGTATAAACATTAGATTTACATGAAGTGTTTTAGGAAGGTTGTAAACATTAAATGCAGGGTGGTGTGACTAGGGCAGCATAAACAACGGGATTTAACTCCTAAGTGGCAGAGAATTGAGCAGTGAGACAACAGGGGCATGATCTATACACCAAAACTGCTTAATTATGCTAACATTGTTTTGGTGACTAGTGCCCCTTTAAAACCAAAATGGGCCAGTTAATTATTTTTTTTCACCTAATCTGGTTATTTGGTGGCTTTGAATAAATAGCACTGTATAAAACGTAGTGGTTTCCTTAAAGAACTTGCTGATGGATTAAAGGGAAACAAATGTATCAACGTGTAGACATACTCCCAATGAAAACATACATGCATTTAATTGTGATTTTTTTATTTTTTTTTTAATTAGCATATGCAAAAAGTGTCAGATCTTGTCGACAGGTACTCTGGGCAATTGCTGCCTTTTGAGTTTCACTGAGCTTAAACTAACATAACTGTCTACCAGCCAGGAAGGGGGTGTAACTAGGTTAATTTATGAAATTGTCAATTTCTATTGAAGTCTATATTTAATATGAAAAGTGTCACTTCTACAAACTTATTCCCTCGTGCAATTAAAATAAATAGTATGAAGTATAAGGCAAGCAAACTATTTCATGAATCACAATTGCTTTAAATACACATCCCCTCTTTGCTTTTCACTTTTTTTCCCTCTGTATATGGATGGATTTATTTACTTTTTTTTTTTACAGAATACTTACTGGCTCAATCCTTTCCTTCTTGCTATGTGTTCCATTGGTGCATATATACCATAGCTTCTGTTAATATCAAAGCCATGTTTAACAATTCATACATGATTGTGTGCTGACTGTTTCATGTTATTGTAGACAAGCATTGCCAGAGCTAGGTGGTATTTTTTATAAACATCCCTAGAAGAGTATTCCTCATGAATTGTTAGCCTTTTGGAATAGCATCAAAGAATGATCTTCCATGGTGAACTTTAACCCCTTAAGGACTAAACTTCTGGAATAAGGGAATCATGACATGTCACATGTGTCCTTAAAGTGATCCTATAGTGCCAGGAAAACAAAGCGGTTTTCCTAGCACTATAGGTTTAATAGGTCCCCCTCCTTTGCATGGAGCTGAAGAGGTTAAACTCCTTCAGCCACTTACCTGAATCCAGCTCCACCCACACTCCTCCCCTGCCAACATCAGGCAGCAGGGGAGACCGAATGCGTGGCAATGGCTGAGAGCATTAGACTTTATGGGGAAAATCTGATGCTGGAGGTCACCATGTAGAGTGTGATGACGTCCAGTGTAAGATAATGGACCAAAGGTCTGTTTGTATTCCGGAAGCACCCCCCACTGGTTGACTGTTAGACAGCCACTGAGGTCAGACTTGGAACTGCAATTTTTAAACATTGCAGCACTAAGTGCAATAGGGACACTGCACTCAGACCACTATTAGCTCAAGTGATCTGGGTGCCTACAGTCTCACTTTAGCAGACTTTTCTTTTATCCATCTATTCTAGACAACCAACTATGAACCGTGCAAGGTACCTCCATTTGTCTTATTCTAGTCAAAATTCCCCTTTATGTAAGAAAATCAGGCACTGATTTAGGGTGGTTACTTTCAAATGTAACCAATCCAGTCTATATCCATTTGCAGGCTAAAAAACAAACCCAAAAATGTATGTTGTAGACTGAGCTTGGGGTATGATTAAAGCTGTGACTGACCAATTATACACACTGGTTTTCTAAAGCAGAGAATTATCACCCAAATCATGACTTGAGTTCTACGGCCACTGCTTACAGATGTAGGAAATCCAATTCCTTGCACCAACTTGCCTGTTACAAGATTATAGATGGCCAAATACCTTTTCAATTTCTCCAACATTTGCCTGTTTAACTAGCAGCCAGTCAGTTACTTACCCTCCTAATTCCATGATACCTTCAGCAAGGCTTCTGCTTATGTAAAGTAGAAGTGAAGACAAACCAGCAATCTCCTTATAAAATGGACAGTACAGGTTTCAGTGAGTACTCTTCATGGTACTCTTTTTAGCCTTTTCAAATTCCAAATACAGAAAAGGGGTAATTAGGACTCCATTGCCAAGACTGTACAAGCCATTGTGTCCTGTCATCACCCACCAAGCCAGCAGTCTGTTATAGTAAAGATCTGCTTCTAGACTGCTGCACTGGGGAGAGATGGCGAGGGACAATCCGGGTTTTATGGGGAAAGTCAGTGTTTTAGGCTTCCAGATCTGTGGAAGTAATCCTTGCAAGTGACTTTATTCCAGCTCTTGGGCCTCAGACCTAGCTCATTCTGTCAGGAAGATACTCACTAGCGCTGTTTAGTCACCCATGCGGGTAAAAGACAATACGTTTATTTTTGCAATTTATTTTTTTTTTTTTAAATTCTTTATTTTTCACTCGGCAGGAAATACAGTAACATGCCAACGACAATCTGGCTTACGCAGAAGCCTTATTCACAACACTCGTAACGCTACATTTGAAACATGGCTGAGTTAAGATATAGATAGCATACAGTAAAACGCCAGATTTTGCGTATGGCTGATTCGCACCTCGTACCTTCCACCGAGGGTTTTTGTTTTTGTACGAGCATTCAAACATATAGTAAGACTTTAATTTAAGAAATTCCCTTGAGTTTCAAGGGAGAAATGAATGAAGAGAAAAAGGAAAGAGAGGAGAGAAAGGAAAGGAAGGAAAGAGAGAAGAAGAAAAAAGAGGGGGGGGGGAGGAAGAACAGGGGGACAAGCGGGCCATGCCCCGACCCTTATCCACGCTACTCCCTAGTTTACTGGAGTCCACTCCTCTCCTCTTGTGTGATTTGGAATTTATTGTTCAATTCCCACAATTCAACATTTCTTTAAAAACCCCTAAATCGTGAGTCGCATATATCTAGGCAGACACCAAAGAAATGAGTAAATATCTAATATGCAAGGCATAAATATTTTTGGTGAATGCAAATATGATTATAATACACCATATATGTCTCAGTACATCTGTATTTATCAACCTGAATGTTGTGGGCGTATCTGTTTATGCTATCATAGATGATTCCGTATGTGTGTGCGCGTGTCTGTCTGACTTTGCATGTGTGTGTATTATTTATTTATTTATTTATTTATTTTTTATTTAGAAATCTTTATTTATGTTGGCTACAAGAGCCTGTACACCTCGAGAGCATTGTCCAGCTTGTAATAGGTTGACACAAACAATGTAAGACAGGATATCTCCTGTCACCCAAAACATAAGCCATCACGATATGGAGGAATAGAGCTTCGCAGCCCTACCCCCTGCCATGTACCTTTTATTTATAGCAAGGCTCGCGAGGATGTTATTTTGTATACTGTCATGTTTATACCTGTGGTATCCAGGTAGACAGAGTTAGGAAAAGAGAAGAGAGAGAGGATTAAAGAAGAAAAAACAACAAGGGGGGGCGGGGGGGGCCTCTTACACAGAGGTTCATGATTGGTGGGGCCTGAATTGAGGAGAGAACCCGCCAAGGTGGTTCAGCTCAAGGGACAGTCTTCCCAAGGAGACCATATTTTTTGGAACCGTTTTTGGGTGCCTCTGACTCTTGCTGTCAGATCGTCCAACAAGTGGACTTCTTTAATTCTATTGACGACTGCAGCCATCTGTGGGGTGGATTGTTTTAGCCAGTCCGCTGCCACTGCTCTCCTAGCTGCCAGAGTTATGTTGTGTATAAGTTTTTGCTCGTTTCTAGTCCACCCATCTATCTTTCTGCTGAGCAGATATACCCATGGGTCTAGGGGAGGAGACCTGCTCAGGACCTGGGTTATTAGGTCCTTAATTTGGTGCCAGAAGCTCGCTATCAGTGGGCATTCCCACCACATGTGGATATACGTCCCTTTAATTCCGCACCCTCTCCAACATACATCCGAATTGCTCTTCTTCATTTGATACAGTTTTACAGGCGTTGTGTACCAACGGAGCATCGTCTTAATCGCCTGCTCCTGGAACGTTACGCAAACAGAGGATTTGTGGTTGGCTTCCCAAATCTCCTGCCATTCTATCCCTTCTAGTTGTTCCCCTAGGTCTCTTTCCCAATGGTCCATATACGTCAGCCCACCCTCTTCGTTAGGCACTGAGCAGAGGTGGGCGTACAGCCGAGTTATCAGGCCTCTAGGCATATGGTCCTGAATGCAAATTTGTTCGAAAAAAGTCAAGGGCTTTTGGGCCGCCGCACGGACCCACGTCAGTTTAGCGAAATTTTTTATTTGTAGGTACCTGAAAAAGTCAGCGGGGGTGAGGTGCCCCATTTGTTGTAAGGCATCAAAAGTCACCACCTCCGCATCCTGCACTAGCTGATATACGCGCTGCAAGCCTAGTCTCTCTAGGTTCCTAAAGTTGCGCGCTGCCATGCCCGGAGGGAATGCTCTATTTCTTAGGAACGGCATCAGAGGTGATGGGGTCGAAGCCAGCCCTTGTCGCCGTTGAGCTCTATCCCAAATATGTATAGAGTTTAGGATAGCTGGACAGGTCGATCTAATGATTGGTCTATGTTCTTTGGGGACCCATATGAGTAGCTGTGGAATGTCCGCCCCCACCATTAGTGACTCCAGATCTACCCACCTCCTCTCCCCGGGTGGGGAATGCCATAATGCTATTTGCGACAGTTGTGTCGCCAAGTAGTATCCGTATAGATTAGGTAGGCCTAGTCCGCCCCTGTTTTTGGGCCTGTGCAATACTTGCCTAGAGATCCTGTGGCGTTTATTATGCCACACAAAATTTCCTATTGCTTGTTGCAAGGGCGCCAGCTGCGCCCTGGAAACGTGTATGGGCAGAGACTGAAAATAAAATAAGATCCTGGGTAGGATATTCATTTTAACCGCATGAATCCTCCCCATCCAGGAGATGGGTCTGTCAGTCCAGGTCTCTAGTTCCCTGATAAGCTGCTTCAGGAGGGGTGTATAGTTCTGTGAATAGAGTTGGTCAGGGGCGGCTGTCAGCTTTATGCCTAGGTATTTTATCGATTGGCGTTCAATGCGGAGGTGGTGTGCCCGTTGTATATCTGTCAAGTCCCCTATCGGGATCTCTATGGGGAGGGCGCTGGATTTGGTCATGTTAACCCTGTAGCCCGAAACTGCTCCAAATGCCCCCAGGACGCCCTGCAGGGCCCTCATCGAATTGACGGGGTCGGTGAGCGCCAGGAGCACATCATCCGCGTATGCCGAAACCAGAAAATCCCTGCCTCCCGCCCTAGCTCCCCTTATGTTTGGGTGTCGTCTAAGGGCCTGTAGCAGGGGCTCCAAGGAAAGCACAAAGAGGAGCGGAGAGAGTGGGCACCCTTGTCTAGTGCCATTGTATAACCTGAACGGTCGCGGTGGGGCGCCTGAGATTTTTACTTGTGCTCGTACGTTGGTATACATGGCTTTGATCAGAGTTATTGCCTGTTCGGGGAATCCCATGTGGGACAGGAGTGTGAACAAGTACGTCCACGTGACTCTGTCAAACGCTTTTTCAGCGTCTAGAGAGACCAGCAAGGTCTGAGTGTGCGTAATTTTCTGCTTCCAGATAATATCAATGTTCCGTCGGGTGTTCTTGAACAGCTGCCTGCCCTGCACAAACCCCACTTGATCTGCGTCTACCAATGTTGCTAAGAAAGGGTTCAGTCTTGTCGCCTGTATCTTTGCCAGAATTTTCATATCATGATTAATCAATGATATTGGTCTATAGCTGCTCGGGATGTTCAGGTCTTTGTCCGGTTTAGGTAACAAGACTATGGTGGCCAGTGACATGTCCAAGTCTGGGGCGCCCCCTGATCGAAAATCGTTAAAGAGGGCGGCTAATTGGGGAGCTAACTCTTCTCTGAATTCTTTATAATAGCTACCGTTGAAACCATCAGGTCCTGGGGCTCTATTGCCTTTCAGGGCCACTATGGCGTGTGCCACCTCTTCTGGCGTGATTTCTGCCTCTAATGCCTCAACACCTGCCTGTGGTAGCTTGGGTAGCCCTAAGTCTGCCAGAAACTTTTTTGTCAGTGCCTCGTCCTCTGCCGTCCGCAACTCAGATCCCGGTGTATGATTATAAAGGGATTTGTAATAGTCCGTAAAGACCTCTGCTATGTCTCGGGGACTAATTTTGGTGGAACCGTCGGTGTGTTTAATGGAGGTAATGTGACCTCTTCTCGGTCTGGGTTTTAGGACTCTGGCTAACAATGTGTCCATTTTATTCGCATGTTCATAGAAGGTCCTTTTGGACCATGTAATAGATTTGGCCGTGTCGTCTAGGAGTAGCTGGCGGATCGCCAATCTCATCTCCTTCAGGCGGCCCGCAGTAATATCGTCCGGGCTACTCTGGTGTTGGTGTTCCGCTCTCTTTAAGTCAGTTAGAAGTTCCTCTAGTTTCTGAAACTTCCTTTTCTTTTTTGCAGTTGCTAATTTTATTAGGGTACCTCTAATAACAGTCTTGTGGGCCGCCCACACTGTCGCCAATGTCACGTCTGGGGTAATGTTAGTCTCGAAAAAATTGGTAAGGTCGGTTTTGAGCTGGGTGGCTATAGACTGATCTTTCAGGAGGGAGGCGTTAAGTCTCCACGTCCATGGAGTCGCCTCACTCAATCTCCCCAACGTCAATGAGACGTCAGCATGATCCGACCAGGTGATGGAACCTATGTCTGTGCTAGTTATTCGTGGTAGGCTCTTATCGTTCACTAGGAACATGTCTATTCGGGAATAGGAACCATGAGGGGTAGAAAAGAAAGTGTAATCTCGTGTGCCCGGATGATGTGCTCTCCACGCATCCACCAACCCCGTCTCCGCAATGAAACGTTGTAGCAGCTTATCCTGGCTCCCCCTACCATGGGACCGCTGAGTGCCGCTGCCTGCCCTCCTGTCTATCGCCGGACTAGGCGTGGCATTTAAGTCACCCCCGACTATGATCATCCCGTGGGGCAGGGTTTTGAGCTTAGTCTGTAGCACCTCCCAGAAAGCTGCATCTGGGTGATTTGGTGCGTATATATTAAGAAAATGGACATGGTGAGATAGCAAGGTGCCAGACACGAGTACATATCTGCCCTCCGGGTCAGAGTCAGTGGATACGATCTTAACAGGGCAACTGTTGCGTATAAGGATCGCCACTCCACTACATTTGCGCAAAGCCCTGGCCTCAAAAGTTGAGCTATAAGAGGGGTCTTTTAGCCGAAATTTAGCCTGTCTTGGTAGGTGCGTCTCTTGTATAAATGCTATGTCAGTACCCATCCTTTTGAGTTCTTTAAATAGTAACCGTCGTTTGGTTGGGGAGTTTAGGCCCTTGACATTTAGTGATGTGAGTTTAGCCGTCATGAGACCTCTTCACGTTGCCAGCTACAGCTCGCGCCCACCTCTGCTCTCGTCGCGCCCCTTATGATCATGTTACCTCGCTGCCCCCTTGGGATGGGATGTGAGAGAAAAAGGAAAATTATAGAAAGTAAGGAAGATGAGGACAGGTGAGAGGGAAGAAGAAGAAAAAAGTAACAACATGATGCACCTCCTGTGCAATCCTTATATTGTCTGGTCTTACTCTCCGCCAGACTTTCGTGGGGGTCAAGATCCCGCCTCTCATCCACTTCCAGTGTTTGGAAGAGAAGCTGGCTCATGAGCCCTCCCTATTTACGCGCTGTTGTGCTAACGTGTTTAAAGCGACAGCAGCCAAATAAACACCAACCTAGACAACGAACAACATAGATTATGAACAGGCATGAATGCAAAACGACAACATTGTTTCCGGGGGAGCCCCCTATGAGACCGGCGGGTAGGGTGAGAGGCTCGCGGCCCGCCCAGCCTCGAGGGGAGTCCAGCAGAAGGGGTTCGTAAACTGCTGGTGGGTGCCCAGGGTCCCTCAGCCAGTGTCCCCCTCCTCACCCAGAAGATGGCGGAATGCACTTGCCGCCCTGGAGGCATCAAGAGTGCCTAAGTGTCCGTCCCAGTCCCCCGTGTGTCCCGTCTGTGTGGCAACAGTAGGGACCCCCAAACCCCCTCCCAAACAACTAGGAGGGCCCCCCTCATCACCTCTATGCGCCATGCCCACAGGGGTATTCAAGACAGTCCCGGTTCCCCCCTGGGTAGGCCGCACTGTCCCCAAGGCTTCATACTGTACCCAGTTCAGGCATCAGCGCCGGCGGGCTCCCACCTCCTGCCACTCGGTCGGGAGAGACTCGAGCTCGAGGGTCGCTGGCTGCATCTCATGTAGGCCGCTGCAGGAAGTGATGCCCAGGGTCTCCAGGAATCTCTTCGGGTCTCCGCTGGGGTTGAGAGTGTGGGTCTTCCCCCCCTGGAACGCCATCAGACGAAATGGGAACCCCCAGGCGTACTGTATGTTCGCTCTGCGTAGAGCCTCTGTGACCGGTCTCCACTCCCGCCGTCTCTGAAGCGTGCTGGGGGCCAAGTCCTGGTAGACCTGGAGTTCTTTCCCTCCGTGCGCCATCTTGACCTCTCTGCTCTTTCTCATCAGGGCTTCCTTGGTCTGGAAGAATAAGAAGCGGACGATAACATCTCTGGGGGTATTCACATCATTGCTTCTGGCGCGCAGGGCCCTGTGCGCCCTTTCCATGTGCCATCTCTCCTCAGAGAGGTCTGGCAGTAGTGGCTTGAAGATAGCCAGAAGTACAGCCGGCAGTGTGCCTTCTTTCTCTCCCTCAGGTAGGCCACGGAGACGGAGATTGTTTCTCCGTGACCTGTTGGCCATATCTTCTATGGCGAGTTCGGCCTCTGCCACACGGGCCGTCAGCCCCTTGATGTGTGTGACCGCTGTGTTGTGTGCCTTATTGGTAGCCTCTAGCCTCTCCTCCAGGCGAGCTGTCCGGGATCCCAGTGCGGCTATCTCACTTCGGAGGACCGTGGTGGCGTTATCTATTTCGCCAGCGAGGTAGGTTTGCACCTCAGCCAGGCGTTCTAAGATTTGAGCCGTCTCGCTCTTGTGGCGTTCTCCCTCTTGGGCCTCATGTGTTGAGGGTGAGTGCGGTGAGGGGCTCCGTCCGGCGCCATCTTGAAGCTCCGCATGTCCGATCTTGTGGGCCGTCATCAGGTCCAGGACCGATGTGCCCCCCTCGGTCCCCCTCTTGGGTTGCTTCTTGGGGTGTCTTTTCTCCATGGCAGCTTGTGTTTGGTAGGTAAGTCGATTTCGAACAGTTTTGTGCTGTAGTAAGCTTAATTTCAGCGCGTTGGGGCCGGAGCTCTACACAGACACGTCCATTACGGTCTCCGGTCAGGCCACGCCCCCTATTTTTGCAATTTATAAAGGCAAATTTAAGAGGACTCAATCATGTTGACAAAAAAAAAAAAAAAAGTACAGTGGTCCTGCCTTCTGTGAGCCATCATTCTACATTGGGAGACTGTCCACCTTTGCATCTCAAGGAAATGTCCACACAAGAGCACAGGCAGGAGGTTAGGATAGGGTCTCAGCATGTGCCAACTGCACATATGATCCATTTTACAGTACTTTGTTGCATTTAGGCTGAATGCTCCGATGACAAAACAGAAGACTGAGGGGCAGACACTCATGATTTGTTGATAATTCGTATTCTACATCCTTTCTGGATTACATATCAAATTTAAGCACCAAGTATGGTTGGGAAACTATTTTCGTATACTGATAACACCAATTACAGGCTTTTTCATATTTCACACTCCCTAGGAACAAATTCAGAATCTTGTGTTTATAGTGAATGGTCATAATTTATATTTTATTACAATGTTACATAGACATGTTACAAACCACAGCAGCAATAAAAAAAAATAAAAAAAATATGCAGAAATAAAACTAGTGTTGAGGATAAATAATGGTCTCACATTCGAGAGTTAAAATGAAACAAAAACAGAATTCAGGATGCGGGTTAAGAAAACCCAAGACAGGTCACGGCATGTTCCCATTTTGATTGGAGGCCTTCGCACAGAGATTCGTTAGCTGTCCCTAGGGAGGAAGTGGACACTAACTCTTTATTCTTTAACCAGACCATGGTGACACTTAGGTCATTTCAGGAAACCAAACCAGAATTAATTTACAAAGAATCTTAACCATCATTCACTATAGTCCCTAAACAGTTAATTGCCAAAACATTTGCATTAGAAGTCCCAAGCTCTATTTTATTCTCCCAGCCATGTTATTTGCAATGCTCTAAAATGGACAGATCATGGTTTAATGAATAACTAACTATATGAGAGGTGAAGTAAAATCCAGTGGTTGTAAGCAGGCTTCACAGTACAGATAGGGTACCGGTGTCCATTCTGCCCAGTTAGGATTGGAGTAGATGGCAGGCAAGTTACAAACAAAACAATGCCTGTTGCTAAAACAAAAAGATGCAACAATATCTATTGTAAAACAGTTTGAGCTGTTCAATTGAATTATACAGACCATACAAGAAGGGCTCTGGCCAAGGTGATTGTCAAAACTCACCACCAATGCATGGATTTGCAGTACGGTGTCATTTCGCAGTAATTCTATGTTTAAGTGCTCCAGATCATCGCCAGCGGAGCACACACTCTAAATAGACAAGACAGAGGATTTTAGCATTACTACTTTGGAAAATATAAAGAAAGGCTTTTATTAAAAATCTAAATAAAAATGTATCCTAGTGTCCACTACATGGGACGCCTAGTTAATGGATCCGGATAATTACCACTTGTGAAACAAGTGAATTGGTGATGTAAACAAGTGTTCAGATATCCTACCTGCCCATCAGCCAGTGGGATTTTGACACATGGGATATGGTCACTTAATAAATGGTCTCCAAAAGATAAGGTTGTAGCACTACGGCTGGGCCGCAAGAGTGGTGTCGCTGGGGTCCTGATAAGGAAGAGGGGTATCATGAACAATTCTAGACAGTAAGACATAGGACAAAAATGTATTCTCCAATAGGATCATGAAGGTGGAGACACTCCAGAACATCAGAGACTGGGGACTCTAGACACTAGATATAAGTGTATCAGTGAGTGGTTTCTCTCTCCCCCCACCCCCATAAGAATATTACTATGGATTTCTAACACAGGTTGCTTTGGTAGTTCAGATCACAAGGTGATGTTAGTGGTTGAGTGGTGTACACACACATTTGCCAAGGTATTCTTTTCTGGAGTGGGGGAGGGGTCATGCTAATAAGGCAGTCTTATGGGGCAGCTGAACTATTTTGTGCAATTTTAAAAATTTAAGCAAATAAAAGGGTGTATCAAACCGAATATTAATGTAACCAAATTTATTTAATTGATGTATTGGTGCTTGGAGGTCCCTTTAAGTGTTTGCAGATTGCATGACTGATTTTAGGATTTCTGCAGAAGATAGGACACTATGGGTCACAGACTGTAAAAGATTGAGCCAGAATAAGTTCACTGGATTGTCAGAAGACCCAGTAATCTCCATCTTTACTGGACTACGTAAAGTCTCATGTAGCTATTTTAGGACTTCCTCTAAAATGTTAAGATTAGCTGGTTTTGCAACAGAGTTACTCGCCAGTGAGACCATTAGATTCTGGATATAATCTTACTAGGGAAACCGTGATAACAGAACAGTCAGGAATGTCCGTCCTGGCATACTAAACCTGTATAACCTGGCCGTTGTCCTCGTAATTCGATCTGTCGCCAGGACCTTCTTTGTAGCTTTGTCTATAGGTGTCGCAGACACTGACCTAAGGACAGAGTTGACACATACAACATCCCATTAGAAACGCACACAGTGAATCATAGGCAGTCGAGCTCAAATGGACTACACAGTATTCTAGAATGTGACCTCACTGTATTCCAGAATGGAGGCGTATTAGATACATCAATATGTCAGTTTTAATTTTGCTGAAGAAAACTTTGTCAGTTGCTAGTTTTCATTGACGAAAACTGCAATTCCTCACTGTAAATCATTTTCCTTAAAGGGACACTCCAGATCACTTCTGCACAATGGAGAAGTCTGGGTGCCAACTCCCACTACTCTTAACCCTGCAACTAATTATTGCAGTTTTTTATAAACTGCAATAAATACCTTGCAGGGTTAACTCCACCTCTAGTGGCGGCCACTAGAGGCAAGGAATCTGAAATGCTAGTTTCCCTCTTCCCGGTCTGACCACAAACACTTTGAGAGCACTGCTTCCTGTCAGACCAGGGAGACGTTAACAAGCTCCTATCCCCACGGTTACTCAGACATGCTACACAGGATCAGGGATGTGAGCACAGAGAGGGGCAATGCGACAAGGAGGAAGGTGGTGGGGGGCGCGCAATGAGAAACATTGAGGAAATGAGTTTCTAAATCCTACTTAAATTCATTACACTAACTTAACATATTAGATTTTAGTAGTGTTGACAAAAAAAAAAAATCTTAGAGTTTTAGTAGACAAAGAATTCAGATGACGAAAATATAACACTGCTTTTTAGTCAAAAGACTGACAAACTAAATAGAAATTTGCTGTGAAAATTTAACACTGCAATAGATGGATATCTAGCAAGTTCACTTATCGCCAATAACTTTGTATTACCTAGTTAGAGAGTGAGTTTTCTTGGTGGGTTTACTGGTTAACGAAACCAATGATTTACTTTTCAGAACCTAGAAATATAAACCAATATAACAGGTTACAAGGGGGTTCCATGCCACTGCAAATTTTCAAAAGCGATTGAGGGATTTCTTAAAGGGACACTATAGACAGCCTGTCCCCTTAATCCTGACAGAGGTGCTTCCTGCTGTTTTATGGAGTTTGACTGAAAGTCCTCACACATGGTTGGGGGTGGGCTAGGGGGCCAGAGGATTCTTACAGTGCTAGGAACACATCTTTGTATTCCTAACTCTATAGTGCTCCTTTAAGAGGAGTGAAAAGTGTTTTTAACCCTTTCATGAGCAAAGGTGGGGGGGATCCTGTACGTTAGGGACTGGGGCATACTATAGTCTTATGACTACAGTTTTGTATTTTTAACTATTGAGACACCTTGCATCCATTAAAATGCCAGCTTGATGTATAATGTTATGAGAACTGCAACCAACTACTCAAGGAGACAGATTTGAATTCCACATTTAATGTAATGTGTTCGTCAAGTAATCACTTGCTTAAATGGCTTATGTAGAATAAATGTTAATCACTCACAGTCAGCAAGTACTAGCCAACTGGAAAGCGAACCTACACAAGGATGCAGAGACAGTGTCTTTAAGCACCGTAACCATTTGCTCTTACTGAAGTGGTTATGGAGCAGAGTGATCCTTTACAACAGTGCTCCTCAAGGCACACCTAACAGTTCAGGATTTAGAAATTACCTGGGTGTCTAAGGTGTTTAGAACAATAAAATAATTAACACCTTAGAGTCCAAGGTAATCCCTAAATCCTGAACTGTTAGGCGTGCCTTGAGTTGGTTGAGGAGCACTGCTTTAAAGGGTTACTCAAACCACCACGACCACTTCTACTGTTAGCAGTCTATTTGTAGAGTTGCACGCTGCACATACGGTGAGATCTGCACTTTGTTGCCCCCAGCTCATGGGACTTAGGCAACCTGGAACTCTGCTCTGCCCTAGTGGAACAGTGGGTGTAGAGTAGACTCTGCATATCTTTGAAGACAGTAGGAAGGTATGCAAGATTAATTTTTTAATAACTTCTAAAATGTACTGTAAGCAACAAGACGCCATAAGAAGCCGAAGGACTTGCCTTCTGCACGGTCCTATCTTTAGCTGCAGTTGTCGGAACTTTGTCTTGCTCCGGATGACCTGCTGTTGACACTTTAACCACTATGGGGGAAAAAATAAAATATGTATATATCCCAAGAGGCTGGAACACTGACCATCTGGGCCATTGTGTGAGGATACCTACCCTTTTTACTGTTTTTTCTTAATTTTGATTGTGGGATATCATTTAAGCAGTCGAGCTGAAAAAATAAAAACAAGATGTTTTTGCATGCAACAAAACCATTTATCGCAGCTGCTGCGTTAAGACAAGATACCTTCAAGGCAGCTTCCGTAACGGCCGACTCATCTCCGATGAATTCTAAAAAGACAGAAGGACCATTTAAATGGAGCCAGTCTCTGTAGATCTTACAGGGCTCTACCAATAAATTTATAATCTATCACAATGTGTGCTTTTAGGGACTGGGATCCAAACCGTCCAGGGTTCCAGAATTGCCCCGTTTTGCTCCAATGATGATAACATTACATCTACCTAGAGCCTAGGCTACCGATCCCCACCTTTGATAAAAAGTGAATTAATCTAGACTGCGAATGATCCAAGCCTAAAGAAATTCTAGAAACAAAGTGGAGGAATTTAAAGGTAACCACACAAACTCGTTCAGAATGTAGTGAACGGCATGATGAATGTGTAAAAGAAAATGGAATGTAACCAACTAACCACCATTCTCTTTCAATATATATTATCGGAAGACTTACTAAGGTAGTCGCCAAACTTCATTTGTCGGATAGTCCACGGCATCTTCATTAGCTCAACATCCAAGGCTTTCTCTGCGGTTGGGATGAGTGACTGAAGCTCTCGTCTTAGTTCATCCATTTTGTCTTTCCCTAAGGCAATCAAATACGGCGACTCAGAATGGGGCGGAGCTAGGTAACAAACACTCAAGGCCTTTAGTAAATACAAAGTAAGGATCCAAAGGCAGGTTAGAGCCCAAATTGTGGATTTATTCAAATCAGTTGGGAGCAATACAGTATCTGATAAACATTTGATGGACTCAAACTGAGCCATTTGTCCTAAACACAGGGCTAGTCACTGAAGTATGAACTGTTGGGATTTCAAAGTGAATTAAAACCCCAAATGCAATTGACCGATTCATTTTCCAGTTTGTGGCTTCTTGGAAATTTGAGTATTGAGCCAAAACAGCAAGTGTGACATCAGCAAAATAACAGCTTTAGCTTAATGAAGTTGTTTTGGTGTATAGATCACACCCCTTCAGTCCCACGGCTCAGTTCTTTGCCATTTAGAAATGAAATCACTTTGTTTCTGTTTATGAAGCCCTAGTCACACCTTCCCTAGCTGTGACTCACATAGCACACATGAAAGGTTTCATTTTTAATCTGCTCTTACAACACAGTGTTTACTTTAGAAGACATTGTTATCACCTGCTCTGTTAATTTAAAGGGACACTATAGTCACCAGAACAACTACAGCTTAATGCAGTTCTGGTGAGTATAATATGCAGGCATTTTCATGCCAACACTACCTGTTCAGAAAAAAGGCAGTGTTTACATTGTCCCTAGAGAGACCTGTAAGTAGCCACTCCTGAGATGACCACTGGAGGTGCTTTGTGGGGCAGTGCTGCCCAGTAGGCAGTACTGCCATTCAGCATCTCCACGCTCTGCATGGGGACACCAAATTTTCCTCAGAGATGCATTGATTCAAAGCATCTCTAGGAGGAGGTGCTGATTGGCCAAAATGGAAGTTGGCCCCGCCCGGCGCTGGAAATAAGACAAGTTAATTCTTTTTAAAGGGCAAACAACCTTAATGGTGGGTTTTGCACTATAGGGTCAGTAATACAGATTTGTGTTCCTGACCCTATAGTGCTCCTTTAACTTTAACACACACAGGAGACTCCTGCAGACTTAACAGAGCAGGAGATACAAACTCTAAACTAAGCAGACTGTGCAATAAAAGGAAGTGTAAACAGAGGTCTCATTACAGGAAGTGTTTACTAAGGTTTTGAGAGTCACATGCAGGGATGGTGTGGTTATGGCTGCATAAACAAAGTGATCCATCACCTAAATAGCAGAGATGCAGGGGCATGATCTATACACCAAAACTGCTTCATTAACTGAACACTGTACTGGTGCGGATCTTTAATAAATGATCGACGTACACTCCCAGCACCATAACCAATGTAAAATCTTCCCCAGGATGCTCTGCCCGGAGCCAACCACGCTCAGTGGTTAACCAGTGCAGAATGACGCTCTGTCTAAAACCACTCCATTAATGCTTTCAGTCAGTGACCCAGCCCCGAAAAATACAGCTTAGCTCATTGTCGCATCTGACTGCAGAGAAAGCAAAATCCCCAGATTTGGAACGATAGTTGCTTTGAAAAACAGGTTTCCCACAAAGTTTTGTTCAGGAGTGGTCATAGCTCATAGGGCAAAGCCTAAATCCCAGGTAATATGGTTGCACACAAGTCTCAATCAGAACACAATCAGCAAAATAGCACCATTCTAGAACCTTTGGATGAAACCATGGCAGCCAGATAAACATAATGGAATAGAGGATTTTGTCCCGAGTAACCAGTTTTATTTCACTGCCATTGTTACAGTTAGATCCCCAAACGCCTCCTGCAGCAAAATGTTTCCTGTTTATACAGACACTGATCGCTGTACACCAAGTAGCACTTTATTGTAGATTGGTGGAGTATAAATCACACTGGTCTTTAATGGGTTAATGGTCAATGAAAAGGCTGGTCAGGTCTAATGAGGGACACAATGCCCCCAAGTCCATATGTCTGACATTTCGATCCAAAGATGGGAGAAACCGTGTATATCCTTGTTGTGGACAAAAATATTAACCCAGATTATATTAGTACGACAATCAGCATTATTCAACTTTCTATGTGATTTACCTAAAATGTAATTATTGCTATGTTCACGTTTTTATTGTTCCTTGTTATATTTTGTTTCCTATTCAATTGTGGTCATAGTGTGGGTACCCTTGTTTTGTGTGTGTGTTGTGTGGTTCGGCCTTGATTCTGGATTATGTGCACATCTCTATATTTGTGACTCCTGTAAATGCCTTTTGATTAGTCTCTACATTTACCCTTTCCCTTAATCTCTTCTGTACTTGATGCCCAGAGCTGTGTTAGTCACCCACGCTCGCTTAGATCCGTGGCCACCACCTCGGGTGGGTGGATCCGGTGACTAGTCTACGTTTAGGGAAGACGCACAGGAATCAATTCCTCGTGGCAGTCGAGCACTGTAGACATTCCTTCTCTATCTCTGTCCCTCTTACGGGGAAAGCCTTGTTTGGTAAAAATGGGACAGGAACATACTAGACCTTCAAAGGGTTTCTAAGCTTGTGATATCGTTAAAGAGCAGGAGAGGAGGCTATGTTAAAAATGAAAAAGATAGCGAAGGTTTGTGGTTTTCAAATGTCACCCAGTGGTAGATTGCAACCAGAGTTTTGGAGGAAATTGCTCATTGATAAAGAGGGCATACTACTGGATAGTGGGTTGACAAAAGCCGTAGAAGCTTGGTATCGTGTAGTGAGAGGACTCAAACGGGAGGGTTGGTCAGAAGAAGAAATTGATTTTGAAGGACAAAATATTTATGTGTATCACAGAAATGTTTGTAATGATGATGATTCATCCCTTGTTGTTCCCCGGCCACCGCCCTATGATGGCACCCAGAATGCCGTGAATGATCTACGCCCCGCCTCCCCAGACACTGCCAGAGGCCCTCCTGCTCCCACCCCTCTACCCTGTTCTCGGGGCGGACGGATCCTACTATTACCCCTTCCCACTCCCATCTTCCTCCATCACGCCACCCATTATCCCTGTTCCCCTCCCACTTCCCACCCAACGATACCGCCTCTCTTCCACTCTCACAGGTCATTACTGATGCAGTCCCTCTACCATCTTTCCCTACCATTTCTCCTGATGCCGTCCCTCCCTCATCGTCCTCTACTACTCTTCCTGTTGCCCCAATTCCTGCTCCCCCTCCTCCTTCATGTACTACTCCCTCCGAGAAATCTCTGGTCCCTCTCCCTGTTCCTTCTGTCCCCGTTTCCCCCTTGCCGTCCTCCGTGATATCCTCTGGTGTATCCACAATCCCCCCTTCTGCCGTCATTCCTTCCACTCCATTCCCCCTCTCCCTGCCGCTCCTTCAGTCCCCGTCCCAGATTCCTCTCCCCTTCCCTAATCCTCGCAACTCCTCCTTCCTTCGACCTTCCATCTCTTATTTCCGCCCTCTCTGCCTCTCTCGTCTCTACTCCCACTCCTACTTCTCCACCCCCTCTTTCCCCATTCCAGATCCTTCCCCCCCTTCCCGCACCTTCTCCTTTCGATCTTTCATCTCTCATTTCCGCCCTCTCTGCTTCCCTCATTTCTCCTATTCCTACGCCCACTTCTCCACCCTATTCCACTCTTTCCATCCCCATTCCAGATCCTCCCCCCTACCCGCACCTTCTCCTTTCGATCTTTCAGCTCTCATTTCCACCCTCTCTGCTTCTCTCAACTCTCCTCCTATTCCTACTCTTACTTCTCCACCCCCTCAGTCCCCATTCCAGATTCTTCCTCTCTCCCCACCTCTGATTCCATCACCACTCCTTTTTCCAATCCTACATCACTTGTTTCTGCCCTCTTAGCTTCTCTTGCTACTCCACCTCCTCCTCCTCTCCACCCCACTCCTGTTTCTATTCCAGATTCCTCTCCTCTCCCTGCCTCTTATCCTGTTTCCTCCCTCGACCTCACTCATCTCCGCCCTCTCCATCCACCTATCTCAACCTACTCAGCCTATACCTTCACCCACCCAGTCCAGCTCCCATCCCTGCCCCTCCCATAACCACTCCCAGTTACCCAATCATGATTGTTGGGACAAATGAATCTGCCACGTCATGACAACCTCAGGCCACTGACGCTTCCCCCGCCGCCTCAGGTTTCCATCCCACTACTTCTCAGTTAGTCACTCCCCAGACCATTGCTGTCTGTTCTCCCGGTTCTGACGCCCCAGCTGCCCAAGCCCCCAATTCACTTGATGTTGCCAACTATCATGGTCTCCCATTCCCGGTTCCTCCTGGGGACGACAATGTGCAGGGGCTTAGCCCATTCCATCCTTCAAATAATAGGGCTTTCCAGAGACAGGCCATCACAGCTACCCACCTCCCTGCTTCAGCAGTGGAAGGGGCCCCACCAATGTATGTTACATTTAACCCATCCCAAGCTGCAACCCTAGTAACTTCTCTCCCAGATCCAGAAAAACAACCCATGTCCTTCTTCCGAAGGATTGCCCAGGTTCGTAAGACTTAGCAGCCTGGCGTGATCTGTACAGTCTATGAGGTCAAGGCTGGGGATGCCTACTGGCCTATTATGGAGAGGAGTTTTAATGATGCTGTCCTCACTACTGATATGGATTTCCAGTCAGACATTACTTTCTGTGAACAACTCCGGGCCTGGGCCCAGGATAAACTGGCTGACCAGGCCACTTGTATAAATGATATCATACAAGACAAACTTGAGTCAGTGGAAAAATACCATTCCAGGTTAACCCAAACCTTCTCCAATCTTGGATTTAGTGTATATAACAAAGCACATACCCAGATGTCAGCTGCCTTTGTGGCTGGCCTTAAGGAACCTATCAGGAAAGGCTTAGTGCTTTCATGCCCAGAATACAGGATTATTCCTTTGGATACTCTCTTGCTGGTTGCAAAGGGCCTAGAATCTGTTCTACAGCCATCCCAGAAGAAAAGTAATCCTCTTGTTTTCCACTTCTAGCCCTACTACCAGACCCACCCAGAGTTATCCCACGTAAGCTATTATGCCAGCCGCACAGGGACAGCTCACAGCACCTAGACCTTTGACCAGGGTATGCTTTAATTGTAACCAACCGGGCCATTTTCGAAGGGAATGCCCAAACCCACGGGTGTCCCGACTATCGACTACCACACCCCCTATGTACCCCAGTGCCCCAACAGCCACATATGGTGGTCCCCAACATGGTTATCCTCCACAGGTACATCCACAGTCGCATGTACAGTATTATCCTTCACAGGATTATGCCCAAGCGGTTTATCAACCCTCCCAATTTAATATTCACCCTTCTCCAGGTAATTACGATTCAGACGACTTCCAGCAAAATGATCACCCAGCACCCAGTCATTATCGCCCTGCCCGTCAAAACCATCAAGCAGGCCACTGCACTACACGTCATTACGCTGGCCCTGATCAATCTCATCTAGACCTTGTACAATAGGTAACTGGCAAACCTGTGTCTGTCACCCCTGTTATGGCAGTGTCTACAGGGGACGGGGGGGGGGGCCCTAGCTACCGTTGTATTACCAGTTGAGGGTCATCCTACTACCTTCCTAGTTGACACAGGTGCAGCCCGCAGCATTCTCAGAGAACAAGACCTGCCTGATCCTTCTGGTCTGTGACAACGATGTTTCTTGTGTAGGTGTTGATGGTACCCCCAGGAACAACCCATTAACCAAGCTCTTGCGGGTTGGTTCTGACATTCTCTGTTTGTTGTCTCATCCACCTGTCCTATTAACCTCTTACCTCTCCTTTACTGCTGATGGCCAGGTTCAATTACTCACCCCACTTTCTTGTAAAGATACTTCTGTCCTTTGCCCCTACACATGACATCCCCCACCGAGGAAACAAGGGTCCCAGACGCCCCCTGTGCTCTGGATACGGTTCAGGCTAAACTTTGGTCTACAGGCCCAGATGACATTGGACGCCTCCGGGTCCCGTCTGTGGTAGCTACACTAATTGAAAGCGCTACTCCACCACGAAGACCACAGTACCCGTTGAAACCGGCAAAAGCCCTCGCAATCTCCAAATAAGTTGATAGCCTGTTGGCAAAAAGTGCATTAATCAAATGCGTTTCTCAGTGTAATACTCCTGTTTTCAGTAAAGAAGAAAACTGAAAAAGGTCAACCAGACCAATACCGTATGGTCCAGGATCTCCGTGCTGTTAATGAAGTTACCAACCGGGACACAGCAGTCGTTCCTAATCCACACACACACTATCACAAGTTCCTCCAACTGCTAAGTTCTTCACAGTGGTTGATCTTGCAAACGCCTTCTTCAGCGTGCCCTTGGATCCCTCTTGTCAATATCTGTTCGCTTTCACCCATGACCGTCAACAGTATACATGGACTATCATGCCTCAAGGTGCACAAAATTCTCCAATGCATTTCGCCAAAGCTATGGCCACTGTACTTGAACCCTGGCAGAAGTCCCACCCAGACGTGGTCCTGCTCCAGTATGTTGATGATTTACTTCTCTGTACAGATGATTTTCCGACCGCTGAACAACATTCCGTGGATCTCCTCTGTTTACTCACAGAAGAAGGTTGTAACGCCTCCAAAACGAAACTCCAGTGGTGCCAGCCCTCTGTGGTCTTCTTGGGACATTGCCTTTCCCATGGCACCCATCACCTAACAAGGAACAGAGTTCGTGCAACTACAAACCTCTCCCCTCCATCTAATCATCAGGCCCTTCCTGCCTTCTTGGGCCTCATCACCTTTTGTAGATCTTGGATTCCTGAGGCTTCTCAACTCATGCAACCTCTCTATGATGCTTTAAAGACTGAACCCTTCACATTGTCCTCTACAGCCCGCAGTTGTTACTATGCTCTTCAAAGGGCAATCTCTTCCGCCTCTGCTTTGGGCCTACCTAACTACCAATTACCATTCAAACTTTTCATCTCCGAGAAGATGGACCATGCTTCCAGGGTCCTTACTCAATCCCACGGTTAGGGTCAGCGCCCTATTGGATATTTCTCATGCATGCTTGACCCTGTAGCCAGAGGTAGTCCTTCCTGTTTGCGTGTTGTCTTCGCTGCAAGTGCCCTACTGGACAAAATTAATTATTTCATTCTCGGACATAAACTGGCAGTTCTGGCTCCCCATGACGTCTCTGCCATTTTGAATCAAGTTCAACCGAAACATCTTTCTTGCCAGAGACATCTCTGCCTTCAAACCTCCCTCCTTTTACCAGATAATGTTTCTTTGCAAAGATGTTACCCCTTGAATCCGGCCACTCTTGCCACTTCCCAAAGGGGGAGTACCACAATACTGGTACAGCCTGGACATAAATCCCAATGTTCACATGGAACTTCAAGTTGAAAAACCCATGGATCCACATGATGAACAACCCGAGACCCAACTACATTGCACCCTGTGGTTTTGGGACACCCCAGGTCCTGACCCATACTAAGAAGAACTATTCAGCCTGGTGGAAATACAGATCACACTGACAGACCTGTTCTGTGACTCCAAAGGAAATATTGTCATCTTAGTCTACCTATGGAGGTATCCCATTTGTATCACCATTAGGAAGTGGCTGTTCCTCATGTCTCTTTCACAAAGTCTCAAGATCTCTCATGGAAAGAACTCTGCCCAATGGCCAAGACATGGAGTACTGCAACTCAAGAACAACTCACAGTGACGGGGGTCACTAAAAAGACCATAAATTACAAAACTGTCGGTTACCCCCAATATCATGCAGAGATATGTGAAGACATGCCTCCCACAGAACCAGGCCCAGATGCGCCACATGATTGTTTTGAACAGATGAAGATGGAAACTACCCATCTTCCAACAGTGCACGAGACTGCTCTACCGGACCCTGACTACACTCTGTTTGTGGATGGTTCTAGATTTGCAGATGAGCAGGGCCAATATCATACCGGGTATGCAGTCCTGCACCATCTGCGCCAAATGCAACCCAGGAAAAATAATCAAGGCTGCAACCAAACCATTTGGCAAAACCACAGTACCCTTTTTAAAGGATCCAAATCTATCGAATCCAAATGCCAAAGAGTGGCTGGTATGAATACGCACTGGTCATAGTGGATATGTTTTCAGGATGGCCAGAAGCTTTTCCAGTCGCTAATCTCACTGCAAAGACTACGGCGAAACACCTACTTACCGAAATTATCTGCAGATACGGAGTTCCTGAAGTAATCGCAAGTGACCAGGGTACATCTTTCACCGCATTGTTGACCAAGGAAATCTGGGTAGCACTGGGAGTGACCCTTGCATTCCACACACCCTATCACCCACAGATTAGTGGTAAGGTAGAACGCATGAATGGCACTCTGAAAGCCAGAATGCTTAAAATGTCACAAGAAACTAACCTACCCTGGCCGGAGATTCTTCCCATAGCACTATTTAGTGTAAGGTACACCCCAAGAGGGAGGTTTAACTTATCCCCCTACGAGATCTTGTTTGGGACAGCACCCAGGTTAGGCTGTTACTTTCCACAACAACTTCAACTCCAGTCAGATGCAATGGTAGATTATATAACTGCACTCTCATGGCTTGACCAAAATCCATGCACAGGTGTTTTCTTCTATTCCAGATCCAGAGTCAAACACAGGCACGCACAAGTTACTACCTGGTGATTGGGTCATGGTCAAGAAGTTTCTAAGAAAAAACACTCTTGAGTCAAGGTTTGATGGTCCATTCCAATTCCTATTGACCACATCTACCTCTGTAAAGTTGGCTGGGAAGAATACCTGGATACAAGCTTCACACTGTAAGAAAGTTCTGGATGCAGAGGAAGCGGATCCCACCCAAACATGAGCCTTTTATACTTATGTCTGCTGCTAGGCCTCTTAAAAGGCCCAACAAGTTACTATTACTAAAGACAATCATGCTTACACATTTTGGTATAATTCTTCAAACATACACGTGGCTACATTTACTTTTGATTACTGTGATATTGTTTCTTGTACTTTCCCACAATCACAACACTCAGCAATATACAAAGACATACCAAATAAAAAGGACCCATATATCTGCGTGACGGGCAACCATTGGGGACATCACTTTAGTTCATGGAAAGTGGCGGGGTGGAATACAGGCCGACCATGGGACTACAGACCACAGAGTGCCTTATACCGAGTTGACAGATATGGGAAACCCTTATACCGAATGACCTTGTGTAAACCAACAGGGTCTACCCCAATAAAGCTAACCTTAAACATATAACACCCCAGCCCAGGTGACACTGGGGAATACGTAATGGGAATGTACTGGAAAGTGGGTGGCTCACATAACAAGTTGGGAACCTTCTATTTACAAGACATGCTTACATCACCTGACTGGGTAGGCTCAACACATATGACCATTAATCCCCCAAAAAGCCACACATCAAAACCCTTAAAGACATGGTGGCTATTGCTAATCCTACATTTGAGGACACTATGGCTGTGGAGACTTTTTTCAGATACTAATCTATGGCTTGAATGGATGAGATAATGCTAACTCTCAACAAAACTAACTTTTGTTTGTGGTGGGGCCAGACCCCACCTAGGTACAGTGCCTTTAAATTTACCCCCTGATGTCGAGACATGTTTCTTAAATCTCTATGCACAGACAATAGTAAATTCATCAGCGTGTGAGTCATGGAAGAAGGCTTACCCAATAACCCAAGGGAGCACCAGGCCACCTGATGAGTCACTGTGTATGCAGGTAATTACACTTGCTATACAATACATGGAGCCACAGGTAAATTTGTAGGCAAATTCCCTTCTGACTACTGTGCCATTTATCGGAAACCTCCCACTGCCTTGTTAGTAAATCAAATTAAATCTGTGGGAGATATTTATTGGCTATGCGGTGACATGCAACTTAGATCAAAGGTGACTGGCTTATGGCGGGGAGAGTGTGCCCTGACTAAAGTTATCATGACCATACACATCTTCCTTGATAACCACCAAGGTCCATACGATTCACCACATACGTATCTTAAGTAAAAAGAGAAACCCCCATCCGAGGTAGTTTTAAACCCACATGTATACATCGATGCCATTGGAGTACCTAGGGGGGTACCAAATTAGTTCAAGGCCAGAGATGAAGTGGCAGCAGGATTCGAATCCTTGATCCCACTCATCACTGCCAATAAGAATGTTAACTGGATCAATTATATTTACTATAACCAGCAACGATTTGTCAATTATACTCGAGATTCCCTACACGGCTTAGCAGAACAATTAAAGACTACCTCTCAAATGACATTCCAGAAATGAAGCCTTAGACATGATTATAGCACAAAAGGGGGGCGTATGTAAGATACTCCCCGATACTATGACATGCTGTACTTTTATCCCGGACAATACAGGTCCTAATGGTAAGGTAACCATGACTATAGAGAAATTAAGAGAATCTTTCTGATGAATTAAAGAAAAATTCGTGAGTCTCCAACTCATGGGACAGATGGGTTGGGTGGAAGAGTGGATGGCAGAGAACTCTCTTTCAAATAGGTATGGCAGTTCTTACTGTAATGATTCTCTCTCTCTTCCTGACTTGTTGTCTAATACCTTGTGTACAAAAATATCTACAGAAGACTGTAGATCAGACTATTGACCACACTACACCTACATCAAGATGCTGACGACATGGACTGACACGCCTTACACACCTCTTCAGTCCCACCACTTTAAACAGACAACTACTACTAAGTAGGGACAGCATAGGGATAGTGTCTGTCTCTATGGGCAGAAGTCTGACGCAGGAGATATAGTGGGTTAGCCGCTGCTTGATACCTGCGCAGTGAAGTGTTCGAGGCCTGTTCAGACAGAGGAGCTGCAGCCAAGTAGGGACCTTATTAGGGTCAGTTAGTAGTGGTCTCTTTAGTAAATAGTCATTTTAAGAGGGGACTGTTGTGGACAAAAATATTAACCCAATTCATGTTAATAAAATGCCTATCTACTCAGCATACCTACAATCAGCATTCCTACAATCAGCATTATTCAACTTTCTATGTTATTTACCTAAAATGGCCGCTAGGGAGTTTCCTTTTTGACATCGACTAACACCCTCACTAACAAGATGGCGATAGAATCTGGGGGAGACCTCCAAGATACCAGTGACATCACACCCGGTAGGCAGAGCACTAAATGAACCACTTAACACCTAATCAATTATTCATGTATTATTCCAGGTTATCTCTGAAAATGCATGATGTAATTTTGCTTTATAAGGGACATGCCGTCCCCCCAGAATAAACATTCCTCAAGTTTTTCATTTAACCCGAAACCTGTGTCTGGTGTGAATTACTTTAGGAGCGTGCATGCACTATTTCTTTAATTTGGCTGGGGGCAGATATACAAGATAATCAATTTATTGACTGATATCCACATCAATCCTCAACTGTCCAACTACAACTCCCATGATGCTCTGCCTAGGGAACATCTACCAAAGCATCATGGGGGACATAGTTCTGCCATCGGTGAGGAGCTACTTCTATTTACATCCATTTAACCAGACATGGAAACAATGCTTACACCATGTCCAGGCCTAAATCAGCTCCAATTAACCTCTCCATTCCTAGAGCCCAGCACTGACCCCCCCTCACCTTGTTTAACCTCTCCATTCCTAGAGCCCAGCACTGACCCCCCCTCACCTTGATTAACCTCTCCATTCCCAGAGCCCAGCACTGACCCCCTCACCTTGATTAACCTCTCCATTCCAGAGCCCAGCACTGACCCCCTCACCTTGATTAACATCTCCATTCCCAGACCCAGGCACTGATCCCCCTCACCTTGATTAGCCCCTCCATTCCCAGCGCACAGCCCCCCTCACCTTGATTAGCCTCATTCCCAGCACTGACCCCCCCTCCGCAGCAGTTAACCCCTCCATTCCCGATTTGCGCTGACCCCCTCACTTGCGCCGGGTTGGCCTCCATTCCACAGGCCAGCACTGGCCCTCACCTTGATTAACCCCTCCATTCCCAGAGCCCAGCACTGACCCCCTCACCCAGCCGATTGGCTTCTCCCCGTTCCCAGAGCCCAGCACTGACCCCCTTCACCTTGATTAACCTCTCCATTCCCAGAGCCCAGCACTGACCCCCTCACCTTGATTAACCCCTCCATTCCCAGAACCCAGTACTGACCCCCTCACCTTGATTAACCCCTCAATTCCCAGACCCAGGCACTGACCCCCTCACCTTGATTAACCTCTCCATTCCCAGACCCAGGCACTGATCCCCCTCCCTTGGGGCACTCACCATGCTGCACAAAATCTTTCATGAACAGATGAATGATGTCGTTTTTCTTCTCCTGCATGACGTCATACTTGCCCTTCTGCACCCCGGAGTCGCTGCTCTTGCTCCCAACGCGCTTCCTGCTCCTCTTGGTCGGCATTTTCCACTGAACTAACAGAGGCAGCAGACACGTGGGATTTAAATAGACCACAGGGAGGCGGGGTCAACAAACCACGCCCCTGGACTCCACCCACCAGGAGCTTTTTTTTGCTGTGTAGAGGGCAAGTTACTGGCAGCCAGTGCAATAAACAGCCATGAGGTCTAGCCCAGGATCAGTGACCCCATGTCCTATTATTATAACTATGGAGGTTACTGGGGAGCTCATTAAAAAGCAAAATGTTATTTCCATGACCATTTTAAAACCATATTTATTTATTTATTATTAATCTCAAATTAGTGTTACATTGTTATCCTTGATACACCCACACACTGACAGGGTTATTTAGTAAAGTGAGAATTCAAATTTAACACAAATTGGAAAAAAGCCAGCTATCCTTCCAGTTTGACCAACTTGGCCTAAACTATGACATTCACTGAGAACTCACCTTGAATTCCCACTTTAGTGAATATCACTGCGTAACTCCCAATAGGCCCAGTATAGGCAGGATAGTCCTGGTTTTCGGGGTCTGGTATCTCTCTCCTAGATCAGTTTTCTGGTGTTGCACTTCTGGACACTTCACAGAAATGCAATCAGTAAATACAGTGTGAGTGCCTCATTAGATGTACCTCTTCTGTAAGAGTGATGGATGGGCTTCCGAAAGTCTCTGCACTTGGGCAGCCTTCAGACGGTCAGTCAGACCCCATTGATAGGCATCCCCTCTCCTGGATAGGCCCTCCTTTTGGGCCACTGACCCTGTCCTGCACCCTTACCTCCAAGAGCTGGCAAGTATGCTACTGTGAGTTCTTGCTGTGGAGCTCTGTGATACACACCACAGTATACAATGAGTTTTATACTGTGGAGCTCTGTGACATATATGCCCTATACATTACTGAGTTTTACTGCTGTGAATCTCAATGATACTCCTACACACTGTCCATTACAGTTTTATTACTATGGAGTTGTGATGCCCTCAATGACACCATACATTACTTGTTCTGCTGTGGAGCTCTGTGATGTATATAGAGGCCAATTATTGTGGGTAGAATTGATGTGGCACCACTAGTTACTGTGGTTTGCTGAGCTTTGAGGCTTTATCATACTTTCATAGTAAACTAATTGACAAAGACCTCAGGTCAAAACATCGCTGTTTTTTGTTTCAATAAAACTGCCTGCGGCTTTAACATCCTGAGTGCCTGGAGATATTTCTTCTAACATTTAAAGTTGGGCTATTGATGCCAGCACTATTATATCACTGACACGATGCTCACCATTCCAACCAATTTTATTGCTACACCACTCTGTCTACAATGATACAAGTTATACAATGCATACTGCTGTGAGTTTTCTAGCTGTGGAACACTGATAGTCACACATGCACATTCATCTGTTTAGAATTTAAACTTTTTTAAATGTATATAAAAGCCATTAAAACCATCGTAACATTACAAGTTGTTTTCATCCTTTTCTACTGACTGCTGGGTACTGCATGTACCATGATGCCACCTTGAGATTGGCAGAGGAGAACATGGACCCTACAGTAGCCACACATCCTTACTGAGTACCAGTTTTGGGGGTATACTTTTTGCTGGCCTGAACAAACAATACTTTTAGTATAGTTAATTCTTCACTCGCCCTGCAGGCACACCATGAGAGAAACCATAAGCACTGCATCATGGAAATTAGTTATTGGGTTTTTGGTCCAAATTTACCAATTTTAAAATTCACTTCAAATATGAACAATTGTCCCTTTAGTGAATGGCCCTGATAGGTTAGCTCAAGTCGATACCAAGTCTTTGGGCAGGAAGGTAGCCTCTATTCATGATAGAGTTTATTACAGCAAAACCTTTTACACATGACTTACTGTAATCCAGTGAAGTTCAGCCAGAAAACAGCAGAGGGCATCAGAGAGGTGGGTACATTAGTATATAGTAAGTCCCCAAGAGCCTTATATTTAAAGGGACACTAGGCACCCAGACCATTTCAGCTAATTGAAGTGGTCTGGGTGCTGTGGCCCTTTTGCACTTAGTGCTGCAATGTTTATATTGCAGCTCTAAGTCTGCCCTCACAGACAGCTTCTCAGGGCGTTTCTCTGCATGAGGACCTCCAGCGTCAGATTTTTCCCACAGGAAAGCATTGAATAATGCTTTCCTATGGGGAGGTCTAATAAGTGCGTGCGGCCATTGTCTCCCCCACTGGATGAAGTCACGGGGAGGAGAGCGTGGGTGTACATCGCCACTGGATTCAGGTAAGTAGCTGAATGGGTTTTAACCCCTTCAGTCCCGTGGAGACCTATTAAACCTATAGTACCAGGAAACTGGGTTTGTTTTCCTGGCACTATAGGATCCCTTTATTGTTTAAAAAAACATCTGTCTCCAAATCACTGACATGCCAGCCCATTTGGGGTAATTTAACTAAACATCTGTACTCGTTTGCATTTGTTAACTTATTTCAAATTGTGTTATTTTATGAATTGTTACATTGCAGTGAGTGTCACTAATGTTTAGATTTGGCACTTTTATGAATAGGCGTAAAGGGGGCATGCAATTGACCCCCAAGTATTCCAGTAAGTTGTAGAGCTGCAGTGTCCTTTAAATGCGGCTTTTTAATGACAAGCATGAAAAGTAGGCCAATGGCTGCCTGGGATCAGATTGAAAGCGGTAGACAAAGTGTTCGTGAGTCAGATTAAAAAAAAATCCAAACCAGCCATCCATTGTCTACATTTTCCACTTGCTTGTCAAATTACTGTGTGATATTTAAAGAGGCTGCAGTCCCCTGCCACCGTCCTTCCATTCAGATTTAACCATTTATATTTCAATGCTAAATGAGAGTCTGCAGTTGTTCAGCCCCTTTCTGCTGCCTGGGCTAATGAGGCCGTAATGAGTTGCTGCAAAGGGCTGGGAGTGTCAGCAGACCGCTTTCAGCCTATCACAAGTCCTGCCTTCTATGTGAGCCATCATTCTACATTGGGAGACTGTCCACACAATAGCACAAGCAGTGACCTATAGGAGGGAGGATAGGGTCTCAGCGTGTGCCAGCTGCACACATGATCCATTTTACAGTACTTTGTGTCCAATTTAGGCTGAATACTCTGATGCCAAAACTAGAAGACAGAGAGGGCAGACAAACTCATGATTTGTTCAGGATAATTAATATTTTATTACAAAATTACATAGATAGGTTACAAAACACGGCAGCAATTAAAATAAAAATATGCAGAAATACAACTAGGGTTGAGGATAAATAATGGTCTCACATTCAAGAGAAATATGAAACAAAACCAAATTCAGGATGCGGGTTAAGAAAATCCAAGACGGTCACGGCATGTTCCCATTTTGATTGGAGGCCTTCGCACAGAGATTCGTTAGCTGTCCCTAGGGAGGAAGTGGACACTAACTCATTCTTTAACCAGACCATGGTGACAGTGAGGTCATTTCAGGATACCAAACCAGAATTAATTTACAAAGAATCTTAACCATCATTCACTATAGTCCCTAAACCGCAAAACATTTGCATTAGAAGTCCCCAGCTCTGTTTTATTATTCTCCCAGCCATGCTATTTGCAATCCTCTAAAATGGACAGATCATGGTTTAATGAATAACTATATGAGAAAGGTGAATTAAAATCCAGTGGTTGTAAGCAGGCTTCACAGTACAGATAGGGTACCGGTGTCCATTCTGCCCAGTTGGGATTGGAGTAGATGGCAGCCAAGTGGCAAGTTACAAACAAAACAACGCCTGTTGCTAAAACAAAAAGACGCAACAATATCTATTGTAAAACAGTTTGAATTGTTCAATTGAATTCTACAGACCATACAAGAAGGGCTCTGGCCAAGGTGATTGTCAATACAACTCACCACCAATGCATGGATTTGCAGTACGGTGTCATTTCGCAGTAATTCTACATTTAAATGCTTCAGATCATCGCCAGCAGAGCACACACTCTAAATAGACAAGACAGGATTTTAGCAATATTACTTTGGGAAAATAAAGAAAGGCTTTTATTAAAAATCTAAATAAAAATGTATCCTAGTGTCCACTACATGGGACGCATAGTTGATGGATCTGGATAATTAACACTTGTGAAACAAGTGAATTGGTGATGTAAACAAGTGTTCAGATATCCTACCTGCCCATCAGCCAGTGGGATTTTGACACATGGGATATGGTCACTTAATAAATGGTCTCCAAAAGATAAGGTTGTAGCACTACGGCTGGGTCGCAAGAGTGGTGTTGCTGGGGTCCTGATAAGGAAGAGGGGTATCATGAACAATTCTAGACAGACATAGGACAAATGTATTCTCCAATAGGATCATGAAGGTGGAGACACTCCAGAACATCAGACTGGACTCCAAAAACTGACACTTGTGTCTAAGTTTCTAGTCAACCACAGAAGAATTAGAACATTACCTGATGTGTTGACAGAATTTGCATTTAGAACAGATACCTAGACAAGCACCAGCTGCAAAGAAGCAGTCATAAAGAAAGGCGTACTCCACTTGCAAGTGATAGAGAAAATATGATACAAGGCAAAGTCATACTATAGGTATAGGGGAAGTACAGAGAGGGCAAAATAAAGGATTTGCAGAATGCTGTGCCATAAGCTGGCCTCTTTAGCCACGCCCCCTCACTCCAGAAAGACTTCCTAGTCAATGTATGTACACAGCTCAGCCACCGACAGCACTGAGTGGAGGTCCCTTTAAGTGTTTGCAGATTGCATGACTGATTCTAGGATTTCTGCAGAAGATAGGACACTATGGGTCATTGACTGTAAAAGATTGAGCCAGAAGAGGTTCACTGGATTGTCAGAAGACCCAGTAATCTCCATCTTTACTGGACTACGTAAACTGATGTAGCTATTTTAGGACTTCCTCTAAAATGTTAAGATTAGCTGGTTTTGCAACAGAGTTACTCGCCAGTGAGACCATTAGATTCTGGATATAATCTTACTAGGGAAACCGTGATAACAGAACAGTCAGGAATGTCCGTCCTGGCATACTAAACCTGTGTAACCTGGCCGTTGTCCTCGTAATTCGATCTGTCGTCAGGCCCTTCTTTGTAGCTTTGTCTATAGGTGTCGCAGACACTGAACTAAGGACAGAGTTGACACATACAACATCCCATTAGAAACGCACACAGTGAATCATAGGCAGTCAAGCTCAAATGGACTACACAGTATTTCAGAATGTGACCTCACTGTATTCAAGAATGGAGGCATTGTATTAGATACATCAATAGGTCAGTTTTAATACCAAAGAAACCTTTTCGTTACCTGCAGTTTTCATTGACAAAAACAAAACTAAATAAAAGTTAGTTTAAATCCTAAAACTATTTGTAATCTCAACAAAAAGGTCACCTGGGCTGGTGCTACTATAAGGTGGCACATGGAGCCGTCGTGGGGTGCACCGGCTAGGGCGAAGGATTTGGGTGACCGGCTTTAGTGTGTACTGCAGAGTGCTCCACTCCTGCCGGTCTCCGTATGTAGTGCGGCCAAGCGCTGACCGCAGGAGGGGAGCTAATTTCCCTCTCCCGGTCTGACATGAAGCGCTCTGAGAGCACCGAACTGCTTCCTGTCAGACCAAGGAGAGGTTAACCAGCTCGTCTCCTGCATTCAGAGCTCTGCCATGCTACACAGGGGGGCAATGAGACACATGGAGGGATTGATTTTTACTCCTGGAGTATGGGTTTGGAAATCCTACTTAAATAATGCTGGAGTTTTTGTAAACAAACCATTCAGATTACTAAGATATAACCAAAACTGCTTTTAGTATCTAGCAAGTTCTCAGTCACATAGTATTACCAATGAGTATTACCTAGTTAGAGAGTGAGTTTTCTTGGTGGGTTTACCGGTTAACGAAACCAATGATTTACTTTTCAGAACCTAGAAATATAAACCAATATAACAAGTTACAAGGGGGTTCCATGCCAATGCAAATTTTCAAAAGCGGTTGAGGGATTTCTTAAAGGGACACCATAGACAGCCTGTCCCCTTAATCCTGACAGAGGTACTTCCTGCTGTTTAACGGAATTTGACTGAAGAGGATGCTGGATGTACTCACGCATCCAGGTTGGGGGTGGGCTGGGGGGCCTGAGTGTTCCTACAGTGCTAGCAACACATCTTTGTATAACTAACTCTATAGTGCTCCTTTAAGAGGAGTAAAAAAAAAATTGTGCATTGACATTGCCTTTAAGCACCATAACCATTTGATCTTTCTGAAGTGGTTATAGTGCAGAGTGATCATTTAAAGGTTTACTCCAACCACCATGACCACTTCTGTTATTAGCATTGGTCATGGTGGTAGGAGTGTATTTGTAGAGGTCCTGCTTGAAACACTGCACATACACTGAGATTTTGTTGCCCAGGGCTAGTCACACCCCCCAGCTCATATAGCTTAGGCAACCTGGAACACTGCTCTGTGCTGCCCTAGTGGAACAGTATGTGAAGTGTAGACTCTGCAGATCTTTGAAGACATTATGAGTGTATGCAAGACTGATATTTTTAATAACTTCTAAAATGTACTGTAAGCAATGAGACGCCATAAGAAGCCGTAGGACTTGCCTTCTGCACGGTCCTATCTTTAGCTGCAGTTGTCGGAACTTTGTCTTGCTCCGGATGACCTGTTGTTGACACTTTAACCACTATGGGGGAAAAATAAAAATATGTATATATCCCAAGAGGCTGGAACACTGACCATCTGGGCCATTGTGTGAGGATACCTACCCTTTTTACTGCTTTTTCTTAATTTTGATTGTGGTATATCATTTATGCAGTCGAGCTGAAAAAAATAAAACGACAAAACAAGACCTTTTTGCATGCAACATCAAAACCGTTCATCACAGCTGCTGCGTTAAGACAAGATACCTTCAAGGCAGCTTCCGTAACGGCTGACTCATCTCCGATGAATTCTAAAAAAAAAAAAAGACAGAAAGACCATTTAAATGGAGCCAGTCTCTATAGATCTTACAGGGCTCTACCAATAAGTTTATGATCCATCACAATGTGTGCTTTTAGGGACTGGGATCCAAACCGCCCAAGGTTCCAGAATTGCCCCGTTTTGCTCCAATGGTGATAACCTTACATCTACCTAGAGCCTAGACTACAGATCCCCACCTTTGATAGAAAGTGAATCAATCTAGACTGCAAATGATACAAGCCTAGAAATAATCTAGAAAAAAAAAGTGGAGGAATTTAAAGGTAACCACAAACTCGCTCAGAATGCAGTGAACAGCATGAAGATTGTGTAAAAGAATGTCATTTAACCAACTAACCACCATTTTCCTTCACTATAGGTTAGTAGCAGACTTACTGAGGTAGTCACCAAACTTCATTTGTCGGATAGTCAACGGCATCTTCATTAGCTCAACATCCAAGGCTTTCTCTGCGGTTGGGATGAGTGACTGAAGCTCTCGTCTTAGCTCATCCATTTTGTCTTTCCCTAAGGCAATCAAATACGGCGACTCAGAATGGGGCGGAACTAGGTAACAAAGACTCATCTGATAAACATTTGATGCATTTGGTGCAATACAGTATCTGAAACATTCGATGGACTCAAACAGCCATTTGTCCTAAACACAGGGCTATTAACTGAAGTATGAACTGCTTGGATTTCAAAGTGAAATAAAACCCCAAATGCAATTGACTGATTTTCCAGTTTGTGGCTTCTTGGAAATTTGAATATCGAGCCAAAATAGCCAGTGGGACATCAACAAAATAACAGCTTTAGCGTAATGAAGTTGTTTTGGTGTATAGATCCCACCCCTTCAGTCCCACGGCTCAGTTCTTTGCCATTTAGAAATGAAATCACAATTCTGTTAAGGAAGCCCTAGTCACACCTCCGCTGGCTGTGACTTACATCGCAAACATGAAAAAAAGTTTCATTTTCAATCAGCTCTTCCAACACAAAACGTACTACTTCTACCTGTCCGTCACTGAGAAAGAAGACAATTAAAAATCCAGAACACATGCCATTGTTACAGTTAGATCCCCAAACGCCTCCTGCGGCAAAATGTTTCCTGTTTATACAGACACCGACCGCTGTACACCAAGTAGCACTTTATTGTAGGCTGGTGAAGTAACCACACTGGTCTTTAATGGGTTAATGGTCAATGAAAAGGCTGGTCAGGTCTAATGAGGGACACAATGCCCCCAGTCCATATGTCTGACATTTCGATCCAAAGATAGGAGAAACCGTGTATATCCTCAGCTGTCCAACTACAACTCCCATGATGCTCTGCCTGGGGAACATCTAGCAAAGCATCATGGGGGACAGTTCTGCAATCGGTGAGGAGCTACTTCTATTTACATCCATTTAACCAGACATGGAAACAATGCTTACACCATGTCCAGGCTTAAATCAGCTCCAATTAACCTCTCCATTCCCAGAGCCCAGCACTGACCCCCTCACCTTGATTAACCTCTCCATTCCCAGAGCCCAGCACTGACCCCCCTAGTGGCTGTCTCATTGATTTTCACAGTGAGAAGATGCAAGCGTCCATAGGAAAGCATCACCTTGATTAACCTCTCCATTCCCAGGCACTGACCCCCTCACCTTGATTAACCTCTCCATTCCCAGAGCCCAGCACTGACCCCCTCACCTTGATTAACCTCTCCATTCCCAGACCCCAGCACTGACCCCCTCAACTTTATTAACCTCTCCATTCCCAGAGCCCAGCACTGACCCCCTCACCTTGATTAACCTCTCCATTCCCAGACCCAGGCACTGACCCCCTCACCTTGATTAACCTCTCCATTCCCAGGCACTGACCCCCTCACCTTGATTGACCTCTCCATTCCCAGACCCAGGCACTGACCCCCTCACCTTGATTGACCTCTCCATTCCCAGACCCAGGCACTGACCCCCTCACCTTGATTAACCTCTCCATTCCCAGACCCAGGTACTGACCCACCTCACCTTGATTAACCTCCATATTCCCAGAGCCCAGCACTGAAACCCTCACCTTGATTAAACTCTCCATTCCCAGCGCTTAGTACTGGCTGCCTCACCTTGATTATCCCCTCCATTCCCAGAGCCCAGCACTGACCCCCTCACCTTGATTAACCTCTCCATTCCCAGGCACTGACCCCCTCACCTTGATTGACCTCTCCATTCCCAGACCCAGGCACTGACCCCCTCACCTTGATTGACCTCTCCATTCCCAGACCCAGGCACTGACCCCCTCACCTTGATTAACCTCTCCATTCCCAGACCCAGGTACTGACCCACCTCACCTTGATTAACCTCCATATTCCCAGAGCCCAGCACTGAAACCCTCACCTTGATTAAACTCTCCATTCCCAGCGCTTAGTACTGGCTGCCTCACCTTGATTATCCCCTCCATTCCCAGCACTGACCCCCCTCACCTTGATTAACCTACATATTCCCAGAGCCCAGCACTGACCCCCTCACCTTGATTAACCTCTCCATTCCCAGCACTGATCCCCTCACCTTGATTAACCTCTCCATTCCCAGAGCTCAGTACTGACTGCCTCACCTTGATTAACCCCTCCATTCCCAGCACTGATCCCCTCACCTTGATTAACCTCTCCATTCCCAGAGCTCAGTACTGACTGCCTCACCTTGATTAACCCCTCCATTCCCAGCACTGACCCACCTCACCTTGATTAACCTCCATATTCCCAGAGCTCAGTACTGACTGCCTCACCTTGAGTAACCCCTCCATTCCCAGCACTGACCCCGCTCACCTTGATTAACCTCTCCATTCCCAGAGCCCAGCACTGACCCCGCTCACCTTGATTAACCTCTCCATTCCCAGAGCCCAGCACTTGAATCTCAAGCCACCTTGATTACCATTCCCAGAGCCCAGCACTGACCCCGGGCCACCTTGATTAACCTCTCTCCATTCCCAGAGCCTAGCACCTCGACCCCTGGCCACCTTGATTAACCCCCATTCCCAGAGCCCAAAGCACTGACCCCAAGCCACCTTGATTAACCTCTCCATTCCCAGAGCCCAGCACTGACCCCCTCACCTTGATTAACCTCTCCATTCCCAGAGCCCAGCACTGACCCCCCACCTTGATTAACCTCTCCATTCCCAGACCAGGCACTGATCCCCCTCCCTTGGGGCACTCACCATGCTGCACAAAATCCTTCATGAACAGATGAATGATGTCGTTTTTCTTCTCCTGCATGACGTCATACTTGCCCTTCTGCACCCCGGAGTCGCTGCTCTTGCTCCCAACGCGCTTCCTGTTCCTCTTGGTCGGCATCTTCCACTGAACTAACAAAGGCCGCAAACACGTGGGATTTAAATAGACCACAGGGAGGCGGGGACAACAAACCACGCCCCTGGACTCCACCCACCAGGAGCCTTTTTATGCTGTGTAGAGGGCAAGTTACTGGCAGTCAGTGCAATAAACAGCCATGAGGTCTAGCCCAGGATCAGTGACCCCATGTCCTATTATTATAACTATGGAGGTTACTGGGGAGCTCATTAAAAAGCAAAATGTTATTTCCATGACCATTTTAAAACCATATTTATTTATTTATTTATTTATTATTAATCTCAAATTAGTGTTACATTGTTATCCTTGATACACCCACACACTGACAGGGTTATTTAGTAAAGTGAGAATTCAAATTTAACACAAATTGGAAAAAAGCCAGCTATCCTTCCAGTTTGACCAACTTGGCCTAAACAATGAGATTCACTGAGAACTCACCTTGAATTCCCACTTTAGTGAATATTACTGTGTAACTCCCAATAGGCCCAGTATAGGCAGGACAGTACTGGTTTTCGGGGTCTGGTATCTCTCTCGTAAATCAGTTTCCGCACAGTTTTATTGCTGTGGAGCTCTGTAATAATCATACACACTGCAGAGTTTTATTGCTGTGGAGCTCTGTGATAATCATACACACTGCAGAGTTTTATTGCTGTGGAGCTCTGTGATAATCATACACACTGCAGAGTTTTATTGCTGTGGAGCTCTGTGATAATCATACACACTGCAGAGTTTTATTGCTGTGGAGCTCTGTGATAATCATACACACTGCAGAGTTTTATTGCTGTGGAGCTCTGTGATAATCATACACACTGCAGAGTTTTATTGCTGTGGAGCTCTGTAATAATCATACACACTGCAGTTTTATTGCTGTGGAGCTCTGTAATAATCATACACACTGCAGAGTTTTATTGCTGTGGAGCTCTGTGATAATCATACACACTGCAGAGTTTTATTGCTGTGGAGCTCTGTGATAATCATACACACTGCAGAGTTTTATTGCTGTGGAGCTCTGTGATAATCATACACACTGCAGAGTTTTATTGCTGTGGAGCTCTGTGATAATCATACACACTGCAGAGTTTTATTGCTGTGGAGCTCTGTAATAATCATACACACTGCAGAGTTTTATTGCTGTGGAGCTCTGTAATAATCATACACACTGCAGAGTTTTATTGCTGTGGAGCTCTGTGATGATCATACACACTGCAGAGTTTTATTACTGTGGAGCTCTGTGATACTTATATTGCAGATTTGTATTGCTGTGGAGCTCTGTGGTACACACCGCACATTACAATGAGTTTTATTACTATGGAGCTCTGTGATAATCATACACCCTGCAGTTTTATTGCTGTGGAGCGTTGTGACACATATGCCCCATACATTACGGAGTTCTACTGCTGTGGATACTCCTACGCACTGCCCATTACAGTCTTATTGCTTTGGAGTTGCTCTCAATGACACCATACCTTACTTGTTTTGCTGTGGAGCTCTGTGATACCAATTACTGTGTTTTGCTGAGCTTTGAAGCTTAATCATACTTTCATAGTAAACTAATTCCTGTCGCTCCTTGCCATGTTAAGATACCCCTATTAAAGGACCGCTAAAGGCACCCAGACCACTTCAGCTTAATGAAGTGGTCTGGGTGCCTGGTCCAGCTAGGATTAGCCCTTTTTTTTTATAAACATAGCAGTTGCAGAGAAACTGCTATGTTTACACTGAAGGTTAATCCAGCCTCTAAAGCCTCTAGTGGCTGTCTCATTGACAGCCGCTGGAGGCGTTTGCGTGCTTCTCACTGTGAAATTCACAGTGAGAAGACGCCAGCGTCCATAGGAAAGCATTATGAATGCTTTCCTATGAGACTGGCTGAATGCGCGCGTAGCTCCTGCCGCGCATGCGCATTCAGCCGATGACGTCGCTAGGAAGAAGGAGAGGAGGAGGAAAGCTCCCCGCCCGGCACTGGAGAAAGGTAAGTGTTTAATCCCTTCCTCTCCCCAGAGCCGAGCGGGAGGGGGACCCTGAGGGTGGGGGCACCCTCAGGGCACTATAGTGCCAGGAAAATGAGTATGTTTTCCTGGCACTATAGTGGTCCTTTAAAGACAACATTTAAAGCCACTGATGCCAGCACTATTATATTACTGACACGATGCTCAATATTTTAACTGTAATATTATTGCTTCACCACTCTTCATGTCTACAATGATACAAGTTACACAATGCATACTGCTGTGAGTTTTCTAGCTGTGGAACACTGATATAGTCACATATGCACATTCATCTGTTTAGAATTTAAACTTTTCTTTTTAATGTATATAAAAGCCATTAAAACCACCGTAACATTACAAGTTGTTTTCATCCTTTTCTCATGGACTGCTGGGTACTGCATGTACCATGATGCCACCTTAAGATTGGCAGAGGAGAACATGGACCCTGTAATAGGCACATATTCTTACAGACTCCAGCTGGGTACCAGTTGTTGTTTTTTGGGGGGTGGGTGTACTTTTTGGTGGCCTGAACAGACACAAAACTTTTAGTATAGGTGTGGCAGAACCAGCCTCACCACTGGGCATTGGAGAAGACTGATTGCCAGCCTCGTGCCCTGTGACTATGGCCCCATGTTGAAATGCTTGATTTTCCCCTGCAAAGACCCGAAAGCCGGGTCATTCGGTACTTTCCCTATGCGACCAGTGTTACCCCAGAGAGCTATGCCATGGAGCCCCTTCGTATAACTAAATACTATGTGAAAGACTTTGGCTCCATGGCAATTGAACTGTATTTATGTGATCTGAGCGCCATTCAGTAATAATGTGCGCTCAGATCTAAGCTATCTGGGGATATTTTGAATGTACCTGTTTTATGCAATAGCTGCACAGTTATATATTTTTATGTATTTTATTGTATTTTGCTACCATGTGGCTAATGGAGTTTTGCCTCTGTCCTTGGAGATAATTGGATTACTTCCCAATTATCTCCAGGATAGAAGACTCTGTGGAACTCGTTTTGGGCAGAAAAGCCATGCTTCATTTGGTCACAAAGAACATTGATTTTGACGTATGTTGGTATTTGGAGTATGCTGATTCTGAAAATGTAAGTTTTATGTGAATGTGATGCATACTTTTAAAGTTATGAACATTGTGTAAAACTGTGTATTTTCCTGACAGGCAGAGGGAAGGATTTTGTGTGGGAGTGTCTGAGTGTATTGTACATGTTTATTGGTTGTTTTACAAAACCCTGTGGGTGGTACTAATGTGTATATAAGAACAATAAACCCACAGCTCTGTCAGTTCTACTTCACCCTCAATTTGGAGTGCCGTCTCTTATTGGGGGAATCTGCTACAAGGGATTGCTATGCTTGTCATACTTCCTTGCTAAATCACTACTAAGCTCTTGTAAGAGCTTGTTCCTGCCTTGCTCTCTGGAGGAGTCTACGGTGGTTATGGTGTCTGCTGCAGTGCTTGGAGTCCTCAGGAAGCGCTAGGAGCATCTTTCAACAGAGGTACCCAGTTGGGGTGCCAGGTGATCCGTTACAATAGGTAATTCTTCACTCACCCTGCAGGCACACCATGAGAAAAACCATAAGTACTGCATCATGGAAATGGGCCTTTTAATGAATAAACCTTTAAAGTATACATTGTAAGAAACGCAAGGTTATTGGGGTTTTCTGTTCTAAATTTACTCATTTTAAGTTAGTTCAAGTTGATACCAGGTCTCTGGGCAGGAAGGTAGCCTCTATACATGCCCCACACTGTGATATTAAGAGTTTATTACAGCGAAACCTTTCACATGTTCACATATGACTTAGTGTAATTCAGTGAAGTTCAGCCAGAAAACAGCAGAGGGCAGCAGAGAGCTGGGATCATTATTAGTATAGTAGGGTTCAGAGAGCCTTATTTAGTGTTAAACTGCTCATAAATGGTTTAACAATGAATGGAGGGACAACGCCAGGGGACTCCAGGCAACATTACCAAATCAATTAGATAAGGTGATTATAGTAATAACAGAAAAAAAGAAAGATAGTGCGTAGGCGCTTCACTGTAATTGTGACAGTTCTGTATATAATAAAAATATACAATAGATGGTGTAACCGGTACCCTAGTGCTTCCCTTATACACCAGATTTACATAATACAATAAAAAGAGACAAATACCAGTATATACACCTCCCCAATGTGATCACAACAAAAATAAGTGATATTACCAATATAGAACTGGACTGTAATGTAAACAGCGTAGAACTTGATTGGGGTATAAACTAAAATAGAAAAAACATAAAAAACATAGTGCAAACTGTATGATGAAAAATAAGTAATAGATAAATGTGTGACTCTCACTCACATTCTCCAGAGCCGTACCAGGCTCTGTATAACAGGCTCAGGGGTGACAATAAGTGGCTAACGATCCAGGTGGTCCAAATAGATGAGACTCCAAAGGTTAAATATAAAATATATTTATTTATAAAAATATATAAAAAAGTGTATACACTACTGGGCACTATGGGGGTGGAACCCAAAACGGACAAGGATATATATAAAACAACAATGGAATTCCACTTACCCCTATCTGTATAGTAGCCCAGAGTGACAGGAATACACATAAAATAACAAATACAAATGCAGAAGATTGAAGCAGACGCGTTTCGGCCAACAGCCTTCCTCCAGTGCTTGTCTTCATGTCCTATTGAGTCTTCTTTTATAAGTCCTATCTGTCCCATTCACCTGGATCCAATTTCGTACCAGCGTCGCGTCACTTCCGGTTTAGCGGGTGACGTCACTTCCGGTTTTTCGGCCGGCTGGAACGCACGCTGAAACGCGGCGTTCAGGATGTAGATTGTTATGATTAAGTCCCCATAGCAACCTTAGCCTCCATATTTGTAAAATATCATAACAGAATAAGAAAAAACACAAATTAAAGATATAATCTATATATAGCATACACAATACAAATATTTGATAGCTATCATCAATCTCTTTATATCTAGAAAGAAATTTAAAGATGTATAAGATAATCTATTCTTAGAAAAATTATACAATGCAATATGTGGCCATAGAACTCCCCACATAAATACCAATTAGACAAGAAGCAAGTATAACCTTCTAAACCTAATAGTTCAAATAAAGTAAATACTATAAACAATATATAGATCCTATAAAAAATGTATGAACTCAAAATCTAAATTCAGTCCCTTCGGGGATAGGGTATTAACATCAAAAATCCACTTACCCTCTATCTTCGCTAGCTCTTTAACATTATTGTCTCCCCTCCAATTCTTAAATTTCTTAAAAATAACAATATATGACAGTAGGGAGGAATCCCCACCATGTTTCTCAGTGAAATGTGCCGATACACTATGTTTCATATACCCCCTCTGGATATTACCCACATGCTCCGCAACCCTGGTTTTAAATGCCCTGGTGGTCATTCCAATGTATTGCAGACCACATGGGCACCAGAGGAGGTATATGACATTAGTGGAATTACAGGTTAGAACCTGATGAATTTTAAATATGCGATTAGTAGAGTGAGAGGTAAATTCTGTCTGTTTATGTTTGTCAAATATTGTTCTCTTACAGGCTAGACAGGATTTGCAGGGATAAAAACCCTTTTCTAATCCAAAGAAGTTTTTCTCTTCCCCTTTATCCCTAATAAAACTTGTAGTTAGATGTTGTTTTAAGTTTTTTGCCCCTCTGTAAATAATACGTGGCCTATCACCAATAATTTCCCTCAGATTCGGATCTAGTTTAAGGATACGCCAATGTCTATTGATAATATGCTTAATTTGTTTGGCATCTTCACTATAATTCAAAATAATTGGTACCTGGTCTGCACCCTTCTTCTCCTCCCTAGGTATCCTTTTCTTCAGAACCTTACTTCGGTCCATCTTCTTGATGGAATTAATACAACTGTCCAATTCCTTGGCGTCATATTTCTTCTCTACAAACCTGTCCCTCAAGCGAACTGCCTGTTCTTCAAACACTTCAGCATCACTACAGTTCCTAAACAGCCTAAGGAACTGGCCCTTAGGGATGCTTCGTAACCAGGATTCATAGTGGCAACTGGACGTTTCTATGTAACCATTGACGTCGACCTTCTTAAAGAAAGTCTTGGTCTTAATCCCTTCATTGTCTACATAGATATTCAAGTCCAAGAAGTTAATGTTGGATGCACTATACTCACTTGTCAATTTAATGTCTGGATGCTGAAGGTTCAAGAATTCCAAAAATGGCCGCAGTGATTCTGCATCTCCGCGCCAAATGAAAAAAATATCGTCTATAAAACGACGATAAAGGACCAGGTTTCGCGCCCAGCTACCTTCCTCCGTTAAAAACGGGTTTTCCCAATGCGCCATAAATAAGTTAGCGTAGCTGGGCGCGAACCTGGTCCCCATCGCAGTCCCCTTAAGTTGCAAAAAGAATTTGTGGTCAAACCAAAAGTAGTTGTTACAGAGGATAAGTCGAATTCCGTCTAGGATAAATTTAACCTGCAATTCTTTCAATTCACTCTGATTTTTAAGGAAATATTCAATTGCTTCACAGCCAGACAAGTGTGGTATACTTGTATATAGACTTGAAACGTCACAAGTCACCAATAGCATATTATTATCCCATCTGATCTCTTTAAGGGGGTCCAACAGTGACATAGAGTCGCGCAGGTAGGATGGTTGTACAACCACCAAGGGTTGTAGTTGTTTGTCTATATATTCTGACAAATTACTCAAAAGCGACCCCACCCCTGACACTATAGGCCTGCCTGGCGGGTTCTTCTCACTTTTATGTATCTTTGGCAGGGTGTAAAATACCGGGGTCCTACCTATGACAGAGTCCAAATATTGGAACTCGTCCCTATTTAGGATCCCCAGTACCCTACCCCTGCCCAGAAGAGATGCATATTCTTTTTTAATCTGTCCTATGGGGTCACTTTTTAGTTCTTTATATGTACTTTGGTCATCCAATTGCCTATAGATTTCCTTCATATATTGATCTCTACTTTGTATGACCACCCCACCCCCTTTGTCGGCGGGTTTTATGATTATTTCTTTATTTGTCTGAAGTTCCTTTAACGTTTTCCTTTGATAGAAATCCAAATTATCCCTTTTATATTTCCTCTTACTATTATTATTTAAATTTCTCACATCATCCATCACTAGACGCTCAAATACCTTCATTCCCCCATTTATTAGGTGTCTAGGAAAGAATGTGGATGTCTTCTTAAGCTGAGTATGATGGAACTCTTGGGGGCCTTCTAGAGGCTCTAAAGGGGATATCTTGTCAAAAAATAATTTAATACACATTTTCCGAGTAAATTTGTTTATATCGATAAATGTGTCAAATGGCTTGTTAAATTCTGATGGAACAAATTTAAATCCCTTTTTTAAAACTTCAATTTGGGATTTTGTAAGGATCATATCTGTTAGGTTAAAGATACCTATTGATTTAGTATCCTCCCCCTTTTCCTTTCTCTCCAGGATTCTTCCTGCTCTATTCCCTCTCCTGTTTCCTGATTTCTCCTTTTTTGGGAAAAACCCGTCATCCCCCTCCTTAAAGGGCCCTGCCCCAAAAAAGGTGACGATATAGGATTTCTTACCTCTCCTGGGGAATTTTCAGATAATGTTCTAAATCTGTTTTGATGTGTAAACTTCGTATAATTATACTCAGTCCCATATTGGGAACCCTGTCTCCCTTGATATGATCTGTTTTTATCTTGGTAAGGTCTTTTATTTGGTGTATATTGGTCACGAGATTGTTTATATTTTATCACATTATGTCTCCTCACAGGATATTTATTAAATGGAACATGTGATTGTGGGTATTCCTTCCTCTGAAAATGTACCATCCTATCCCTAGAGCGTGATCTACTCTGTGGTTGAAATTTCTTTGAGAAAGAGCGGACCTTGTTGTGAGCATAGTCGCTCTTATCTCTCAGGAATTTCCTCTTTTTTATAACCACCGTTTCTTGTTCAATCTTTTCAACATAATCCTTTATTGTTTCTAGCGATTTTTCTACTTCCTCACAACCTTTTAATGGTTGTAGTTTTTCTTTTATTTCAGTTATTTCAGTGTCTAATTTTTGTAAGTTTCTTCTTCTCTGTTGGATGCAAATTTTCATCATTCTTATGGAGAAGGATTCAAGTGCTGAATTCCAAATGTCTATAAATTCTTCATCATTTCTATCAAATGTGGGAGTTTTAAAAAACCGTAAACCTCTAGGAGTGATTTTATTCTCTAAGTACTTTTCCATAGTAAAGATCTCCCATTTAATTTTAGTTTCTCTTATCAGAAGTTTTTGTAAATTTTGGCACATGAGATCTAGATTGTCATCTCTAAATTTAATATGATCAGGTTCACATTCAAACCTGTTAGCTATTCTATCTTGCCAATTCTGTCTTTTCTCAAACAGATCCATTTTTTATAATGAGCAGCCCTCACTAATACAGGGAAAAGTATAGAAATAACAGAAAAAAAGAAAGATAGTGCGTAGGCGCTTCACTGTAATTGTGACAGTTCTGTATATAATAAAAATATACAATAGATGGTGTAACCGGTACCCTAGTGCTTCCCTTATACACCAGATCCAACAGAGAAGAAGAAACTTACAAAAATTAGACACTGAAATAACTGAAATAAAAGAAAAACTACAACCATTAAAAGGTTGTGAGGAAGTAGAAAAATCGCTAGAAACAATAAAGGATTATGTTGAAAAGATTGAACAAGAAACGGTGGTTATAAAAAAGAGGAAATTCCTGAGAGATAAGAGCGACTATGCTCACAACAAGGTCCGCTCTTTCTCAAAGAAATTTCAACCACAGAGTAGATCACGCTCTAGGGATAGGATGGTACATTTTCAGAGGAAGGAATCCCCACAATCACATGTTCCATTTAATAAATATCCTGTGAGGAGACATAATGTGATAAAATATAAACAATCTCGTGACCAATATACACCAAATAAAAGACCTTACCAAGATAAAAACAGATCATATCAAGGGAGACAGGGTTCCCAATATGGGACTGAGTATAATTATACGAAGTTTACACATCAAAACAGATTTAGAACATTATCTGAAAATTCCCCAGGAGAGGTAAGAAATCCTATATCGTCACCTTTTTTGGGGCAGGGCCCATTAAGGAGGGAGATGACGGGTTTTTCCCAAAAAAGGAGAAACCAGGAAACAGGAGAGGGAATAGAGCAGGAAGAATCCTGGAGAGAAAGGAAAAGGGGGAGGATACTAAATCAATAGATATCTTTAACCTAACAGATATGATCCTTACAAAATCCCAAATTGAAGTTTTAAAAAAGGGATTTAAATTTGTTCCATCAGAATTTAACAAGCCATTTGACACATTTATCGATATAAACAAATTTACTCGGAAAATGTGTATTAAATTATTTTTTTGACAAGATATCCCCTTTAGAGCCTCTAGAAGGCCCCCAAGAGTTCCATCATACTCAGCTTAAGAAGACATCCACATTCTTTCCTAGACACCTAATAAATGGGGGAATGAAGGTATTTGAGCGTCTAGTGATGGATGATGTGAGAAATTTAAATAATAATAGTAAGAGGAAATATAAAAGGGATAATTTGGATTTCTATCAAAGGAAAACGTTAAAGGAACTTCAGACAAATAAAGAAATAATCATAAAACCCGCCGACAAAGGGGGTGGGGTGGTCATACAAAGTAGAGATCAATATATGAAGGAAATCTATAGGCAATTGGATGACCAAAGTACATATAAAGAACTAAAAAGTGACCCCATAGGACAGATTAAAAAAGAATATGCATCTCTTCTGGGCAGGGGTAGGGTACTGGGGATCCTAAATAGGGACGAGTTCCAATATTTGGACTCTGTCATAGGTAGGACCCCGGTATTTTACACCCTGCCAAAGATACATAAAAGTGAGAAGAACCCGCCAGGCAGGCCTATAGTGTCAGGGGTGGGGTCGCTTTTGAGTAATTTGTCAGAATATATAGACAAACAACTACAACCCTTGGTGGTTGTACAACCATCCTACCTGCGCGACTCTATGTCACTGTTGGACCCCCTTAAAGAGATCAGATGGGATAATAATATGCTATTGGTGACTTGTGACGTCTCAAGTCTATATACAAGTATACCACACTTGTCTGGCTGTGAAGCAATTGAATATTTCCTTAAAAATCAGAGTGAATTGAAAGAATTGCAGGTTAAATTTATCCTAGACGGAATTCGACTTATCCTCTGTAACAACTACTTTTGGTTTGACCACAAATTCTTTTTGCAACTTAAGGGGACTGCGATGGGGACCAGGTTCGCGCCCAGCTACGCTAACTTATTTATGGCGCATTGGGAAAACCCGTTTTTAACGGAGGAAGGTAGCTGGGCGCGAAACCTGGTCCTTTATCGTCGTTTTATAGACGATATTTTTTTCATTTGGCGCGGAGATGCAGAATCACTGCGGCCATTTTTGGAATTCTTGAACCTTCAGCATCCAGACATTAAATTGACAAGTGAGTATAGTGCATCCAACATTAACTTCCTGGACTTGAATATCTATGTAGACAATGAAGGGATTAAGACCAAGACTTTCTTTAAGAAGGTCGACGTCAATGGTTACATAGAAACGTCCAGTTGCCACTATGAATCCTGGTTACGAAGCATCCCTAAGGGCCAGTTCCTTAGGCTGTTTAGGAACTGTAGTGATGCTGAAGTGTTTGAGGAACAGGCAGTTTGCTTGAGGGACAGGTTTGTAGAGAAGAAATATGACGCCAAGGAATTGGATAGTTGTATTAATTCCATTAAGAAGATGGACCGAAGTAAGGTTCTGAAGAAAAGGATACCTAGGGAGGAGAAGAAGGGTGCAGACCAGGTACCAATTATTTTGAATTATAGTGAAGATGCCAAAGCAAATTAAGCATATTATCAATAGACATTGGCGTATCCTTAAACTAGATCCGAATCTGAGGGAAATTATTGGTGATAGGCCACGTATTATTTATAGAGGGGCAAAAAACTTAAAACAACATCTAACTACAAGTTTTATTAGGGATAAAGGGGAAGGGAAAAACTTCTTTGGACTAGAAAAGGGTTTTTATCCCTGCAAATCCTGTCTAGCCTGTAAGAGAACAATATTTGACAAACATAAACAGACAGAATTTACCTCTCACTCTACTAATCGCATATTTAAAATTCATCAGGTTCTAACCTGTAATTCCACTAATGTCATATACCTCCTCTGGTGCCCATGTGGTCTGCAATACATTGGAATGACCACCAGGGCATTTAAAACCAGGGTTGCGGAGCATGTGGGTAATATCCAGAGGGGGTATATGAAACATAGTGTATCGGCACATTTCACTGAGAAACATGGTGGGGATTCCTCCCTACTGTCATATATTGTTATTTTTAAGAAATTTAAGAATTGGAGGGGAGACAATAATGTTAAAGAGCTAGCGAAGATAGAGGGTAAGTGGATTTTTGATGTTAATACCCTATCCCCGAAGGGACTGAATTTAGATTTTGAGTTCATACATTTTTTATAGGATCTATATATTGTTTATAGTATTTACTTTATTTGAACTATTAGGTTTAGAAGGTTATACTTGCTTCTTGTCTAATTGGTATTTATGTGGGGAGTTCTATGGCCACATATTGCATTGTATAATTTTTCTAAGAATAGATTATCTTATACATCTTTAAATTTCTTTCTAGATATAAAGAGATTGATGATAGCTATCAAATATTTGTATTGTGTATGCTATATATAGATTATATCTTTAATTTGTGTTTTTTCTTATTCTGTTATGATATTTTACAAATATGGAGGCTAAGGTTGCTATGGGGACTTAATCATAACAATCTACATCCTGAACGCCGCGTTTCAGCGTGCGTTCCAGCCGGCCGAAAAACCGGAAGTGACGTCACCCGCTAAACCGGAAGTGACGCGACGCTGGTACGAAATTGGATCCAGGTGAATGGGACAGATAGGACTTATAAAAGAAGACTCAATAGGACATGAAGACAAGCACTGGAGGAAGGCTGTTGGCCGAAACGCGTCTGCTTCAATCTTCTGCATTTGTATTTGTTATTTTATGTGTATTCCTGTCACTCTGGGCTACTATACAGATAGGGGTAAGTGGAATTCCATTGTTGTTTTATATATATCCTTGTCCGTTTTGGGTTCCACCCCCATAGTGCCCAGTAGTGTATACACTTTTTTATATATTTTTATAAATAAATATATTTTATATTTAACCTTTGGAGTCTCATCTATTTGGACCACCTGGATCGTTAGCCAGTTATTGGCACCCCTGAGCCTGTTATACAGAGCCTGGTACGGCTCTGGAGAATGTGAGTGAGAGTCACACATTTATCTATTACTTATTTTTCATCATACAGTTTGCACTATGTTTTTTATGTTTTTTCTATTTTAGTTTATACCCCAATCAAGTTCTACGCTGTTTACATTACAGTCCAGTTCTAAATTGGTAATATCACTTATTTTTGTTGTGATCACATTGGGGAGGTGTATATACTGGTATTTGTCTCTTTTTAAGGTGATTATAGTGCCTACTGTGTCTCTTTAAGCTCAAAAGGAACAACATTATTTAAAAAAAAAAAAAAAAACATAAGAAAATATAACCTTTTCAGAGCAAAAATGTCTGAATAACAAGAGCATTTATTAATCAAATTGGGAATTCCAGGTAATTACCAAGAGAATTACAAATTTTAAGCCAAATTTTTTTTGGCATTTTTCCAACTTGACTGCTTTGGTCTAGAAGTTATAACTTTCAGACCGATGAATGAATCTCAATGTTTTACTTATGCCTGGCCTTGAAGGGGTTAACCCAAGTCTAGTTATTATGGGTTTGATGAGAGGATTATCAGATATTATATTTTCCTGCAGTTATAGCGTTTGTGGCATGACTATTTAAATCATGTTGGAGTTATTTGAATTTAATTTGTCTGGGCTGTAATCTGCTTCAAAGCAGAAATTGCAGCTTAATGGAATTATTAACTGGCTACAGGACAAGTTCATACAAGATGGATAGCTTTTTACAATTATATCTATGTAACGCTCTTCTCTGCTTGGAAACAAGAGTTTTTCAGTATATTTGGCCCCTTCCCTATAAACCAGTACTGGGATTGTCGTAGTGTTCTACATTATAATAAAGTTATGCTCGTTTGAAGAAATGCATGATGTATTTTCACGGTATAATCTTATTTTAGACGTTTCTGATGATCTAACCACCTCTTTATGCACACATGAGTAAAATCAAAGTAAGCCACGTTTTATTATTTTATTTAACAGAGTGGCTAGCGTTAGGCTCTCATTGTGGCCAGCGTCAGTATAGCAGTAGTAGGTAATGTGGTGTGTTTTAGTCTCCCAGTAGAGTGTAACTGTGGCCGGAGTCAGTCTCTCAGTAGAGTGTAACTGTAGCCAGCGTCAGTCTCTCAGAGTGTAACTGTAGCCAGCGTCAGTCTGTCAGTATAGTGTAACTGTAACCAGCGTCAGTCTCTCAGTAGAGTGTAACTGTAGCCAGCTTCAGTCTCTCAGTAGAGTGTAACTGTGGCCAGCGTCAGTCTGTCAGTAGAGTGTAACTGTGGCCAGCGTCAGTCTTTCAGTAGAGTGTAACTGTGGCCAGTGTCAGTCTGCCAGTAGAGTGTAACTAGCCAGCGTCAGTCTCTCAGAGTGTAACTGTGGCCAGCATCAGTCTCTCAGTAGAGTGAAACTGTAGCCAGAGTCAGTCTCTCAGTAGAGACTAACTGTAGCCAGGGTCATTCTCTCAGTAGAGTGTAAAACTGTGGCCATCGTCACTCTCTTACTAGAGTGTAACTGTGGCCAGAGTCAGTCTGTCAGTAGAGTGTAACTGTAGCCAGCGCCAATCTCTCAGTAGAGTGTAACTGTAGCCAGCGCCAGTCTCTCAGTAGAGTGTAACTGTAGCCAGCGCCAGTCTCTCAGTAGAGTGTAAAACTGTAGCCAGCGTCAGTCTCTCAGTAGAGTGTAACTGTAGCCAGAGTCAGTCTCTCAGTAGAGTGTAACTGTAGCCAGCGCCAGTCTGTCAGTAGAGTGTAACTGTAGCCAGCGCCAGTCTCTCAGTAGAGTGTAAAACTGTAGCCAGCGTCATTCTGTCAGTAGAGTGTAACTGTAGCCAGCGTCAGTCTCTCAGTAGAGTGTAACTGTAGCTAGCGTCAGTCTCTCAGTAGAGTGTAACTGTAGCCAGCGTCAGTCTCTCAGAGTGTAACTGTGGCCAGCGTCAGTGTGTCAGTAGAGTGTAACTGTAGCCAGCGTCAGTCTGTCAGTAGAGTGTAACTGTAGCCAGCGTCAGTCTCTCAGTAGAGTGTAACTGTAGCCAGCGTTAGTCTGTCAGTAGAGTGTAACTGTAGCCAGCGTCAGTCTCTCAGTAGAGTGTAACTGTAGCTAGCGTCAGTCTCTCAGTAGAGTGTAACTGTAGCCAGCGTCAGTGTGTCAGTAGAGTGTAACTGTAGCCAGCGTCAGTCTCTCAGTAGAGTGTAACTGTAGCCAGCATCAATCTGTCAGTAGAGTGTAACTATAGCCAGGGTCAGTCTCTCAGTAGAGTGTAACTGTAGCCAGAGTCAGTCTCTCAGTAGAGTGAAACTGTAGCCAGAGTCAGTCTCTCAGTAGAGTGTAACTGTAGCCAGCGTTAGTCTGTCAGTAGAGTGTAACTATAGCCAAGGTCAGTCTCTCAGCAGAGTGTAACTGTAGCCAGCGTCAGTCTCTCAGAGTGTAACTGTGGCCAGCGTCAGTGTGTCAGTAGAGTGTAACTGTAGCCAGAGTCAGTCTCTCAGTAGAGCGTTACTTTAGCCAGCGTCAGTCTCTCAGTAGAATGTAACTATAGCCAGGGTCAGTCTCTCAGTAGAGTGTAACTGTAGCCAGAGTCAGTCTCTCAGTAGAGTGTAACTGTAGCCAGCGCCAGTCTCTCAGTAGAGTGTAACTGTAGCCAGCGTCAGTCTCTCAGTAGAGTGTAACTGTAGCCAGAGTCAGTCTCTCAGTAGAGTGTAACTGTAGCCAGCGTCAGTCTCTCAGTAGAGTGTAACTGTAGCCAGCGTCAGTCTCTCAGTAGAGTGTAACTGTAGCCAGCGCCAGTCTGTCAGTAGAGTGTAACTGTAGCCAGCGCCAGTCTCTCAGTAGAGTGTAAAACTGTAGCCAGCGTCAGTCTGTCAGTAGAGTGTAACTGTAGCCAGCGTCAGTCTCTCAGTAGAGTGTAACTGTAGCTAGTGTCAGTCTCTCAGTAGAGTGTAACTGTAGCCAGCGTCAGTCTCTCAGAGTGTAACTGTGGCCAGCGTCAGTGTGTCAGTAGAGTGTAACTGTAGCCAGGGTCAGTCTCTCAGTAGAGTGTAACTGTAGCCAGGGTCAGTAGAGTGTAACTGTCTCTCAGTAGAGTGTAACTGTCAGCCAGTGTAACGTCAGTCTCTCAGTAGAGTGTAACAGTAGCCAGGGTCAGTCTCTCAGTAGAGTGTAACTGTAGCCAGCGTCAGTCTCTCAGTAGAGTGTAACTGTAGCCAGCGTCAGTCTCTCAGTAGAGTGTAACTGTAGCCAGAGTCAGTCTCTCAGTAGAGACTAACTGTAGCCAGGGTCATTCTCTCAGTAGAGTGTAAAACTGTGGCCATCGTCACTCTCTTACTAGAGTGTAACTGTGGCCAGAGTCAGTCTGTCAGTAGAGTGTAACTGTAGCCAGCGTCAGTCTCTCAGTAGAGTGTAACTGTAGCCAGAGTCAGTCTCTCAGTAGAGTGTAACTGTAGCCGGCGTCAGTCTGTCAGTAGAGTGTAACTGTAGCCAGCATCAGTTTCTCAGTAGAGTGTAACTGTAGCCAGCGTTAGTCTCTCAGTAGAGTGTAACTGTAGCCAGCGTCAGTCTCCCAGTAGAGTGTAACTGTAGCCAGCGTCAGTCTCTCAGTAGAGTGTAACTATAGCCAGCGTCAGTCTCTCAGTAGAGTGTAACTGTAGCCAGCGCCAGTCTCTCAGTAGAGTGTAACTATAGCCAGCGCCAGTCTCTCAGTAGAGTGTAACTGTAGCCAGTGTCAGTATTTGAGAAGAATGTGTGTTTAACTGTACACAAGCAGTCAATATAAAATAGAAGAAAATGGTACAAGAAACATTGCTCTGAGGCTGGAGATGTACAGATTTAATTTACAGAGAGCTTAATAGAATAGTAATAAAACAAAGTTGTTGTTAGGCTGTACTTTAAACACTTGTAAAGATATATAAAATGTTAACCTAGATCCAATATTGGAGAATTCTTGGCACCACTCTCCCCCATTCACATTTAGTTTGTGAATAAAGAAAACAAGAATTTATACCTTTAATTGCCTGTATCCCTCAGCAAGTACTGTCCATAAGTAAAACTATTGCCAAAGGCATCCACCCACCGACTCAATTCATATCAGACTTGAAAACGGAGTAAAGCTTGTATTACATTTCATTTACTGTATTCCCCATAAATAAAAATTCTAATTTACTGTTTGACATAAAACAATTCTATCAATGTTTTCTCCAGGAAGTTGGTAAAATGGTCCATCCTTTAGCAAAAATGCATTAATCCAGTTACAACACTTGCTTGGGATTAGTAAATGTTCTAACTGTCAGCCTACAATCTTGGCTCTGTATGTTAGTGCTTCTCGCGAGAAGTCATCCCTATTTAGGAATATTCATCAAGAAACTTTATGTGGAATTCTTTCACCTTCTGTAACAATGTCTTCAATTTCTCTACGGCTGGTAAAATTGTCATTCTAAAAAAAGAAAAAAAACAACAACAAAAAACAATGTATTAGTGAAATATTCAGATTGTCTGTTTCAAGAGAAGCGCTTAGCATAGTGCACTGGTATTGGTCTAACGGAGATGGTGTAGGACAAACCACATTGACACATTCCCTGTTATACATCAATAGCCCAGTATTATCACGTGATCTACCTAAAGTGATATGTCCCTTCTTTCTGTCCGAACCCACTCCCTGGGACAACACAGATCCCAGTCTCTTCCAGGAGCTGCATACAGTAAAACATATCAGGAGCCATTCGGAGTTCCTGAAGAAAGAAAGCAAACAAATGTACATTTCTAATTTTAAAATGTTTCTACCTTTAACAAGCTTTTTTACAAACAAAGTTTGGAAAAAACAACAAGAAAAATCCAGGCAAAAATAAGAAAATTAAACAATACGTGTAGTTAAATGTTACTGCTTCAATTTAAATTGAGGAATAAAAACATAGAATTTATATGCTGTAATTCATTTTAAAAATGCTTATTCACAAAACTGGAAGCATCAAAAGGAATTGCATTTATTAGTCTAGAATAGTCAAATTGGAAAAATTTTCAAACTTTCCGAGCTCTGATATTTTGGCCTAGAATTTGTAATTCAAGTAATACATTTCCACAATTGCAGGTTGAGGAACAAAAAGTGGGTTTAGGCTTTCATAACACGACACCATGCACATAATACGCAAATGATCAGGAAGCAGAGATTGTGCAACGCAGATGTCAAAACAACCTACCCTCGCTCTGGGTGTAATGTACTTTACGGTTTATAGAACTATAACTCACTTAGACTGTAAGCGTGTTGAGCAGTGCCCTCTCCATCCCTTGTTCCTGCAATCCCCGTTTTGTTAATATTCTTTTGATTAGATTTTTTGCCCACTGTACAGAGTTACAGATTTTTTTTGGATCTCACAATCCTGGCGTGAAATAAAATCCCAGTTTCCTGGTTTTACAGATTACTTGTCTCATCCCCAAAAGTGGCTGGTGGCCTCAATGTCTATGTCACTGCGTCCGGGCCACAGTGCAGTCTCAAAAAGCATGTGTTACGATTACATTAATGTGGTGTCATGGATTAATTTGTAAATAGACTAAAATGTTATAGTAAAAAAAAAACAAAAACAAAAAAAACACATTGCTCAAGGTCAAACAACTCCTTTTGATCTGGGGGGAAAAAAAACAGACCGTTTTGCAACCGGAGAGCACATGGCCCTTTGTTCTTTGTAAAATCTTCTGCAAAGAGCTTTGTCCGGCGCCCCAGACACTTGAGCGGTAAATCTTGTGTGATTACCATTCACCGCGGTATTTTACCCGTAACAATAATTTAGGCAAGTAATCTCCATACTGTGTATTAGGAACTTACCTTAGCTCTCTGTATGGCTTTATCGGGGATGAAAATCCTGGGGAAGGCGTACATGGCGCCTTGCAAAGGGTTACATTTAATGCCGGGAATTTGATTAAATATTTCCTCCGTTAGTTTAGCTTTATAAGCCAGGTTGGACAGAACAGCTTCCTTCTCCTACAGGAACGACAAGAGAAAAGAATTTTAAAACACCAACGAGGAGAATAATGAACTCTTTGTACATGAAAATGATAAAGAACATAACATATTACTCTCTGCATTTCACAGAACAGAATGCACGGCAGGTCAGAGAGGGGTCTGTGAAACCTCAGATCCACTTCACACTCACAAGCAATTACACAAGACAATCATCATATTTCTAGTCTTGGATGGAATAAACATAAATTAACACTTCACATACCTAAAGCATTTAGCTTGCTAAAGGGTGTGCAGAATGTGGCCTCTTTTTCCCTCTTCATTTTACAAAAAGTGTGGACTCCAATATAAATCTGCACTTTTAAAAATTAATCTTGCTACACTCCCTGGCCGTTAGACATACACCTAGTCCTGTTACTTCCTGGTTTGTTTAGCTCAGTGGAGCTAAAATCAAGAGGCAGCAATTGATCAGAAAACCTGCCCTGCAAAGACTTCTCGTTGAGCTGTATTGGGAAGTCTGTGATTGGACAGTCACAGAAAGTCTGGGCGGGGTTAGAAGGGGAGGGCTTGCTAAGGCTGCAGACAAGATTTTGCAAGCTGTTTTTTGATATGCCCCTAATAAAAACGCATAATGAAACACATGCACATTTTTAATGGGATATATCAACTAAACAATGATTTTTCTACATTTTATAGTTTGTATTTGTGCAGTGGAGTGTCCCTTTAATTATGTTCAGACTTCGGAGTAAAAAGGCAAAAATCACCAGACAAATCAGGAGCTTTCAAAGTCCACAATACATAAATTCAGTCACAATACATATGAAATCAAATATTCGGCATTGCGATTTACTAAACCAAGAATTGTTAGGAATTAGTCAGGGAATTTACCATTTAAGCTGGAACCATAGCTTCCTTGGAGAATTTTTCCAGTTCCGCTATTTTAGCCTACAATTTGCAATCCCACTGTGAAACCTAGACAACTAGCAGTTCAGGGAATAGTTATTTAGTTAGCTAGCAAAGCATTCCACATAATATAGCAATAGTGTAACTACACCCTGTGCCATCACAGTTACAGGACAGAACCACCACCAACACGAATGGGATCTGCTCTGCATTGAGTAAAGCAAATTAAACGGTTTAAGCTGGATTAGAAAATGAAAATGCTTAAAGTAAAGATTGTCCCGGTGTATGCCATTCTAGTATAAAAAGCCGTACCCTGATAAAACGATTGTAGGACTCCTCTTCAGGCTTTGGTGGGTTGACGACCACATCCATAGCTGCCTGTCCTGAGACTGGAGGGCAGAGCCGGACAGACAGCATTTTAACCAGCTGAGCTGCGATGTCTCGGTGTAAGTTCACAACCTCCATATACCCTCCTCTGTAACCGCACCTAAAAGAACACACACACACACACATTACAGGATTGATCCATGAATTACATGACGTGGGGGGTGGGTTGTCGATCATGCAGCCTATTAACGCTTCGCAATGCACTGCTCACCTTGCAAGCATGTAAAATGCTACAGAGCTAAACATTACAGAATGTCATCTGAAATCTAGTTATTTTTATATAAATCAGAAGGGGAATTAGAATTGGTTTTACGACAATCGCAGTACAATTTTATTTTAAACGAATGTGCCAAAACATGTGTCTTCTAGTTGATTGTAAAGTTAGTTATGAAAAACGTACTCGCCCATGTATCCCTTGGAAGTAGAGTGGAAAGACGCAAGCTCCACGTTAGTGAAATATTCTGGGCCCATTTCATACAGTACTTTCTTGAAGGAGTGAAACTTGCAGTTGTCCGAATAAACGTTATCTTGATACACC